TTTCAAAAAATATTTCAGATTTGAAAGAAAATATTTTCGCTTGTAATCCTATACTTACTCGGTTTATTATTTTATCAATTGATTTTTAAATTAATTAATTAATTTGCACTCTCAATTACTTTTGATAATTATAAATAAAATTTTATTAGTAAATATAAAACTTTCACAGGATTTTAACATATAATTGAAATACAAGTAAAGTGAAATACAAGTTAATTTTTATATATAAATTTAAAAAAATAAATGATTAAATAAAGAATAAACAAATTGAAAGAAATTAAGGTTCATAAAAATAAATTTATCTATTTCTGACAAATTTCGAATATCCATACCAAAAAATATAGAGATAATACATGAAATAACCAACGTTCAACATAAGTTGTCGAGTTAAGCAAACACATAACTATAAAAGTAAAATATACAAATTCGTTATTTAAAAATATCACATAGCCATACGCATTAGTAGCCCAATGGAGTAAAGTAACCTAAGTTAATACATTCAATATCCCAATGAAATTATATGTATCGATCAACAATTATTATAGATATCATAGCGCAAATTCATCTTTTAATGTGTAACAAGTGACACGAGAGACTTATAGGCGACAACTGCCTTGGCGCCTATCGATCGTCAGCTCTGATGTGATTTTAAAATGCTTGACACGTCGTTACACAAGCACTCACACATGTACACGCATATGCTCGTAAATGAACATGGGAAAATAAGTAATATGAAGGACTATGATAACTCCCGTCAATTAGTCTAATTCTTCGTCCAAATGATAAATTGACGCTGCCTAGAGCATCCGCGTATTCTTATAGCAATATTATTGTGTACTTTGTCAGTGCGAATAATATATTGTCTGTTTGATTAACGCTAAGTATGTTGGAAAATTCTAATTTCACAGTTAACTGGAAAGTTAAGAACAAATATTGTTGAGCTCTCCGTATCCTTTCGCCAGCACTTGTATTTATAGAGGAAATCGTTTGTTTTTATGTCGTTCGTGAATTTATAATAATTGAATGAAAAAAACTTTATGAGATTGAAAATATCTATCTACTAATTCTGCATAAAATAATTTGATATGAATTTATGATAAGATGCGATAAATGTGTATATGTAGAACTATTTGAAAGGCTTGCAACATAAAATCCATACCATTTAATTAATTTTATTTGAAATATTATCCTTTTTTTTTCAATCTTTAGATATATAATTATATATTGAATTTATGAATACGTGATAAGGAAAATATAAGTTCTCGATTTACATCACGCATTAATCATTGAGACAGGATAGAAAAATTGAGAAATTGCTGCATTTAAAATGCTTTTAAATTTCTCAATCAATTTGAAAATATAACTTCCTAATTAACAGACTATCTTTATTATAATTTTTTTTATAAAGGTATTGTATTTAAAAATTTTTATACAAAATTTATAATATAATAATTCGAGAATGCAAATACTATAATTATGCAAAAATCTTGTTCTGCTTAAAAATTGTCATTTTTAATTTTCAAATTATACTATTTTTGCAACGATTATGTACAATATACGATGGAAAAGAGTATTTAAATTGACTTTGTGTAGGACTTTATATATATATATATAATTCAATTAAATAATAATATTTTATATGTTATTATTAAAATATTAAAATTTATATTTTTATAAATATATATATATATATTCACAATTTGAAAATAGTATAATGTATAAAGTAATTAAATGTGTAAAAATATGATTTTATATAATAGAAAAATTATTATTATAAATTACAATATCGTGTATTCATACATTACTATAAATTGTATTAACTTGTATAATTTTCAATACATTTTCTCAAGCTTGAAATCAAATATACTTGATAAAGTATATTTTAATAACAATACTTATATATTTGCGTATTACTACATATATATATATATATATATAATATTCATATTTAATTACAAATATTTTAAAATTTGATCATGTAGTAAAATTTTTTATTACAAAAAAGATACATTATCGTTATGTATTTAAATAAGTGCGGAAATTTTCAAGTTAAAATAAATAAGCTTGAGTGAAACAATTTACTTTTTACAACATTTTCATAATCAGTCGTATTATATCTAAACAAACCGCGACGGTTTGGTCTTGGCTTCGCTAATTTCTTACAATTAATATTGATAAGAAGCGTACATATTTAATAATATTACTGATTACACGTCTTGGATCGCTGAAGGATTTTTTTTAAGGAGTCACATTTAAATAACGTCTAATCTTTTCATAATATTTTTTTTATAAACAGTTTAATATTTGGATTAATAGTGATGGAGCTAAACGTAAAAATAAATTGTCCAGTCAATGACAAAAAATAGAAAATGGTGCTACATAATGTAAGAAATGGAGTTGTACAAGTACGTTTTAAAATTTCTTTCGACCGATAGTTTTGGTCAATTACGTTTTAAGTAAAATAACGAAATAATAAATCCTTCACTTATTAGATCCCGTTGGGGTTCGATTAGCCATTTATAATTTCCGTAAAATTTCAATGAAAGACTTTCACTTTTCCTTAGAAACTTTCTAATTTTTTAAATATCCAAATGGACACTGCATCTTAAAAATAACTATCGCACTCACATGTCGTTATATTCATATTTTTCGTTTTAGTGCATATATTATTATTATTTGTTGTGTTAAATAAATTTTTATCTCTGTTAGTTTGCTTTTAAAATTATTGACAACAGTTTTGTCTCACATCTGCAACATAAATAAATAAATATATATATATATATATATATATATATATATCAATGGAATTTTCTTTATAATTGATAAAGAATACAATGTGTCTCATTATTAATTTTATATTTCTTTACGTTAATTCTCAAGCTTAAATCACCCTACAGTTTACATATTATACGTAATAAAAGGTATTAAAAATATTCTTGGAATAATTAACGTATTTGAACTTTAATTTTTAAAATTGTCATAAACATCATAAACTATAGCAATAAATCTTTTATGTGAATTTATCACTTGTAACATGCCTAGTCTATCTTGGTAATAAGTCATTTTTTTAATATTAATTAATTGATAATTTATTAATTTTTAAATACTTATGCGTAAGCAGTAACTAGCATTATGTAATATATGTAATTTAAATATCATAAAAAATATTATTAAGTATCTTAAAACTTTTATCATTATGTATTTTAAAACGTGTGTAAATATATCATGTAACTACTAATTAATATGTATATTATATTCAATGTTATAATGTACAATAAATATTCGTAAATTTGGAAGATTTGGATAATAATGTAAAAGATATTGATTGTATTGTTAATGCGCGTGGGTATAAACAGACTTTAATCTATTCTAATCGCTATATGGATATAAATTTTCATTAAATTTAAATGAAGGTTATTGTACCACATGGAATGCTAATATTCAGTCATTTCAAGTCTTAATTTTTATTTATTTTCGTATTAATTGTAATACGTAATTGTCGATGTATTTATTATATGGGTTTAAATTTATTTTCGATCTGGTACTAATAAATACAACTTTTCCGTTCTGTAATAGATCATCACTATTCAGAAATTACCCATCAAAACTGAAAATAAGAAATGACTAGAAAATGATTATACCGAAGTTAATGTATCCTCGTAAATTTCTTATTTATGTAGCATTTAACTTATAATTTTTTTTTTATTTGCGTGCTCACAAGCAATTGTAAATTATGCAGCTGTCGTCATAATAATATAATGAATATATGAATATATTATATCTGGAATAGAATGTGTGCGTGCATGTGTAGATTATAATAATTGTCTAATTAATTATGTGAAAATACATTAGATTTAATTTGTATAAAATTCTATATTAAATAACCAATAGACGTAAACAATAAACAATAAAACACGAGATTGAAAATAATTTTGTAAAATTAATTTTCCATTTTTTGTAATATAATTGAAAATTTTCATATTTATTTATATAAATTCTAATAGATTGATAGGAAATCAATCGTAACCTATTGTAACGTGTTGACATTAATTTATTTGATTAAGGTTTTATAATTTTTATAGCCATTCATTTGAAATCGATTATATTATTATAGATAAATTTTTATATTGATAGATAGATATTATATAGAGATAGATTTCTTATTATTATAACTATTTATTCGGGAAAAAGTTGAAAATATTTTATTATTTGAATAATGATCGGTTTTTCATAGAGAAGTTTTCTCATTTAGAATGATTAATAAAATTAAAAAAAAAAAAAAAAAAAAAGTCATACTTTCAATGCAGAAAAAGTAGCTTGTAATAAGTTAAAAGTCAATATTTAGTGAATGTAAAAGTCAATATTTAGTTGAAATAGTACTCGTTTAAATAACATATATTTCTTTTTTTTTTTTTTTTTTTCATTTAGTATAAGATACGAAATCTTATTGATTCCTTAATAGGGGGAAAAAAAAAAAAAAAAAAAAAAACAAATCGTAAGAACGAATATCATTAAACAAAATAGAGATCATTATGAAATTGTTGTGAAAATTGGTATGTAAATTATCATTATTTGAAAAAATATAAAATTATTATAACTAATTTTTAACATTATTATAAATTCTATTACATTTACCGCTGCGTAGTTTCATCAATACTAGATGACAATTTAATACGAAAGAAGTGTGTCTAGTCTAGATTGTAAGAAAAAAAGTATCAATATATAATTTTTATCAGTTTAGAGTAGAAATTGTTTGAATAAACTATAAGAAAATCAAGCGATGACTACATATTAACTGTCTACTGATAAAATATACAGCAAAAAATCTATGTCTAACAAGCATCGACCAATATAAAAGCACGAATGATTTACCATATTTTACGAGTGATATTATCTTTCTATAACTGTTTGTTCATTTTTGTGCATAAAATTTGTTACAATATAACGCGGTCAATCATAAAGTAACGGGTGTTTAATGCGCACATTCTTGGTTACGAAACCTGACGTTTTAATAATCTAATTCCGAATTGTCGGCACTGCTCAAGAGGCAAATCTCCAAAAGTGAACGGCAAAGTCTCTAGTCCCGCATAATCGTCCGATAACCAGGGAATGCTCGAGCCTTCGTTCATCTTCCATAACGGAGTGTGCGAGAAGGCCACTTTGTCGACGCTCAAGGTAAAATTCGTATTCACTCAGGGCTCTCCGCGTTTTATCATCAACTAGTCATTAATCCGGGTTCTCGGGCTCGTGCGCCAACGTCACCGATGGATGGGAAATGGTAACCAACTCGAGCGCGCGTCAGCCTTCGACGCCTCGATCGGGCTCCCATTTATCTCGACGAGAGTCAGCCGATTAAAGAGATACAAAAGGGGCGAGCACCCGCTTTCGAAAGACGAGATCATCGCCGCGGGACGGACCGATATAATTATGCCGTAGGTGACGCGGGTGTGCGTATTTTTGGGACAGGTATGTGTTGGTGCGTAGCACCGGCTAGACAATGCGCGTATATTTTGGCCCTTGTCGCATCGGCCGTCGAGGTGAGGAGAGGAGTGGAGAGGAGAGGAGAGGAGAGAACGGCGACATCTTGGAGAAGTTTGCCGGTGGCGACTAGTCAGTAGACCGGCGCGACTCGTTGCGCGTGGATCGTTGGATTTGCGAGTGTCCCGTAATTTCGTTCGTTCGGGCTGCTTTTGATGCCGTCGGAACCGCCGAACGTAAGGGAGCCGCCACGACGTATCTTGTCATGCCATTCGTTGCCTTTCACATGTTAATGCCGCCACGTTCATTTTAATTCTTACTAGCCGAGTGTTGTCTTTGATAGTAATTTGGTGAGTGGCTTTACGACATTTATCTTATTCGAGCTAGCATTGATGTTTCCTTGGCGCGTGTTATATTTCATTTGAGGCATTAAGAGCACGAGGGATAGACGAGGCTGCTGCTTACATTCTGCTGATGCGCGACATTGGGATAAGAGAAAAAGAAGGCTGCCTCTGATTAATGAACATCTAATGTTTCTTAGCCTACGGTTGCTCACAGTAAGCTTTCACAGACGTTTTCATTCTCGGAATAGAGTCGCGCAATGTACGAGTGCATGTGTGCTTTGTAAAGTTTTTTTTTCTTTTTTCGCTAAAATGGAATAGCAGTCGCTTAGGTCTAGAGTATTTTAATTCACAAATTATCGAGCCGATAGAAAAATGCCAATTACTGTAATCGCATGCATTTGTTGTTAGGTTTAGATATTAAAATACATAGTAAATTGTAGATTATATTATTTATATTTTCTATCTTTATGCGTAATCGATGTTATTATCCTACATTGCTCTAAGTCGTACATTGGCAAATGGGAAATGATTTTGAAAAATTTTCAAGTTATTAATAAGGAAATTTTTATACAATTTCATCATCGCCAATATAAAAGATTACAATTAGATAGCAATTTAACGATATTACACATTAAACATTATTAATCTTGGCTGGGGGGGAGAAAAAAAAACATGTAAATAAGAAAATTAAAAACATTCTTCTTTTTTTATTTTTAAGGAATATATGTTATTCGGTCAACGTTTGTAAGATTATCCATATAATGTGATACATATTTTTATACTTAATTATATAAAAAAGAAGGAAAAAAAAGATTAATTAACAACTTACTTAATGTATTTTAACGCTTCCTTTAATTTTATTTTACCGTGACTTTATAAAATATTATATTTTAAGATAATGCAGTCATATGTACCAAACCATGATCTAAATGGACCAAGGTAATCATTTAATTAAAAATAAAATTTAGAAATATGTCGTGTTTGTGGGGTCCGTACAAAATATTATTAAATTATTTTCGCTAAATTTCATTTTTTTTTTCCCAAAATTTTTTTTTTTTTTTTTTTTTTTTTTTTTATTTCGCAATAAATACAATCGATCTAATGCTTAAAAAATTAAAACCTCACTAAATATGAATTTTATTGACTTTCTTTCAAAATAAGCTCAGAATTAATGTGCGCATTACATTCATTTGGAGTTGTTGTTGTGAATCCTTATACACAAACGCATGCGCGCGCGCACTCCCATATACCTATGTATGATTAATTTTAATAATAACTTTATCTATATAAAGGTTTTAACTACTATATACACAGTTATTGCTGGCATTCTTAATATTATAAATTTCACATTTGTAAGTAAATTCTTTCCAAGATATAACTTGTAGATTAAAATTTTAACTGCCTTCGAAGAAATTCAAGTCTCCGATCAGTTACTTAGAAAAAGTGCTTTATATAACATATAATATCATAAATATAATATTTTATTAAAAGTATCCGTAATTGAATATAAATATTTTATGTTTGGTAAACGATAATATAAATGCTAACAGTTCGATATGCTTATTTTAGCATGTTATAAACCTATACGCAAGGAATTTTTTGAGTGCATAGCACAATTATGCTTATCGTATAAATAATGAAAAAAAGAAAAAGAAAAAAAATTTTATGAAATCCGAGATGTTAATTTACGTGCTCGTGTTTGTGGTAATCAAAATAAATATTATCTGAAATACGACGAAACTAAAACTGTACAATATACTGAAATTTTAATCTCAATGCCAATTAAAAACAGTAAAAAGCAAATTAATAATAGGCTTTCACGTATTTCATATTTTTCGACGTATAGTTTCCGCTCATACGAATGTCTCATTATTTTCTATAAATATGGTCTCGTGGTTGTAGTTTTATGAGGCACAACCTTTAACGCCCAACAAATCCTGCCACTTCCGCGTGAGAATTTACTTGAAACGCATTGCACAAGAGCGCATGAATTCTTCGAGAGCTGAGTTATATATTATTATTATACGCATTGCATTGCATCAAGAACAATGTCTCGCTCACACACTGCAATTACTATGTCCTTACTGATTTAAGTAGTAGATGCCGCTCGGTTAAACTCTAATGCAGGATTCGCAGAATTATGTATGCACACTTTGATTCTACCAGTTGAGTACAAGTCCCTCGCTCTCTTTTTTCACTCTTTTTCTCAATTTTCTACATCTCATGTTAATGCATCTCGTAATTATACAATGCAAAGATAAATTTCTCTAAAAATTATTGTTTCTTTCCCTCTATGACAAGCTCATAACTCTGCAAAAATGACAAATTTTATCAATAGAATTAACTAATCAATTTAAAAAGGATAATTAAATTATTATATAAAATTACTGTCTGTTGACTTCTTATAACGAATAGCTTATTAATATTCGTAATATTTTGACGCTCTTGTGTATAATAGTCTAGTGTGCCCATTTCAAACTAAATTAATTTTTCGTACATAAACCGATGCAATGTTATTTCAAGAAAATGCACACAATTTTGAGAAGTTATAGTGAATTATCGTGCATGCTTGAAACTAGAATAAATTAATAATTCACTGGCAGTGACTATATGTGTGGCCGATTCGTGCGCTCGTAAAATCACGTAACTTTTTTCACGCGATAATGAGATTTTATACGTCGTGTACATTCAGACATTGTATAATTATAAAGCATAATATTTTTATAATCAATGCATATTATAAAATATTTATTATTCCAATTACAATTGAAGTAACAAGAATAAAGCATACGAGTTATATGTTAAATAAGAGAAGTGGAAAACTATTTAACAAAATTAATATTATTAAAAAAATTTTTGTTTTCTTTTTCGTTTTTTTTTCTTTTGTTTTTAGACGCATTGATATTGATATTTATCAATTATATTGACAATTATTTCTACAAAATATCATCTAACACACATATATATATATATATATATATATATATATATATATACACGTGCATGTAACTTCATTAGTATTGAATACATGATGCATCTTTCAACCCTCAAACGGCAAATAGTATTTATATTATCTATTGTGTACGAAATTCTCACATCTATTTATTAAACTCAAAAGGTCGAGGTATATCAGAATAGTTAACAGGTACAGCTGAGCTTATTCGAGCTCGTTCGAACCTCAGCATAATTAATTAAATATTACATATACGCAGCATATAAAATAATTTTTTTTTAATTATATTTACACGAATATATGAAATTATACTGACAATATTAACGAATCACTTTATAGTCGCTTATTGAAGGAAACGATCTTTTCGATTAAAAAAATCATATATATATATATATATATATATATATATATATAAAGCATTGCTTTTTGTTTCAATTACCTTTGATACATAACAGCATAGTTTCAAAATTAATCAGAATTTTATCATTTTATATTGACACATCAGTATATACGTGCTATATAGTTGTTACACATTCTGACTTCGCTTAATCGTATTCATTGTTTGATTTTGTTTTTAATTGAGCAACATATTTCTTCTTGATTATAACAAATAATGTTTTTTTTTTTTTTTTTTTTTTTTTTTTTTTTTTTAATACGCGGTAAGCACCCGTAGACTTTATCGCTGATTAATAATAATACAATGTATAATAAAACGAATCCCTTAACTTTTTTATATTCGAGGCTTTTAAATCTTTTAAAATCCATAATAAGCATATTAATGATGAGATAATAATTAAAAACATATAGTGATTATAATAATTATTTAAAAATGAAATTTCTATATTTAAAGAGTGTATTACTTTAATTGAAAGAAACAAACACGTTACAAATTACTTGGTATAATACTTATGTTGACGTCGTGTACTTATTTTTTACAAATACACATTTCTATTTGTAGCATCAGTTTTAAACATTATCTGATTAAACGTCAATGTAAAAATTCTTTCTTCAAACAAGTTCCTCTTAAATTTGGTCTTATATTTAAAAAATTTTTTTACTATTACTGCGCCTTATTTAAAAAGCTCACATATGAAAATGAATAAACAATTATTACATCACATAGTTAAAAAAATGTAACGCTTAATTAAATAAATTTTACTTATAAAATAAATGCTTTAATCGAATATATAAGAAAAGGTATTGATATTTTATTTATTTCATTTGATATAAATTCACCTTCACAATTTACAGATGACAAAGATAAGACGGTGTGCGTGTGTCTATGAGCGTGAGAGAGTGAGAGAGTGAGAGAGTGAGAGAGTGAGAGAGTGAGAGAGTGAGAGAGGGGGGCGGGGGAGGTCAAAGTCAAAAATATCTTGTTCGAATGCAGATTCGATAATGCTGGAGGAGCTACGGGTTTTTGACCGATAAACCGTTCGATCCTTGTACAATCGCAGCCCCGAACTCTCGTGACTCCCTTATAGCCACTTTTAGTACATTGAAGCTCATATATGCACATTCGCGATAATGCATGTCGAGAGTAACGTAGTATGACGAGGTCACGCGACGTTATATTTATTGAACGGAGAGGAGCCATGACCCGCGAAAGTGAGTTAATGTGTATGCACATTTATTCGAGTGCAAGCGACTTACTTCATTCTACTACATTATTATAAATATCGTCATTATTTCTCCATCATTTTTCTCCCATTTATATCCACAAATGGACTGATCAAGGTTGTATGACCGATTTACCCATTCTCCGTTTATCTCTCTCTCTCTCTCTCCATCCCCCCTCACCCCTTCGCCCTTCTCTCTATCTACATTTTTTTTCACTTATTCTTTATATTTGCACTTGTAAAGATAGATTTGTATCGTTATGCACGTTCGATTAATGGGAGTTGTTGATTTTCGCATCGAGAATAGGCTGAAAATGACAGGCCTTTTTTAAGAATTTATAATGCACTGAGTCAATAATTATAACTCTAGTATGGATCAATAATTCATGTTTATGTTTAAATAGTGATGCCAACGATGATTCAGCGGAAAATTTCTTTAATTTAGGAAAAAATGTAACTAAAGAAACTTGCAATAATATTGATAGGCAATGATGAGTCATGAATTCTATTATGATATTTTATGTTTAATTCATTCATAATATTCGGCTTGCGAGAGACTCGAGAAGCATTAAGCATTTTCTTTTTAATTTTAAGCGTCGAAGAATATAAAAATTTACACATCATTTGATAAGATATTTTTATATTTCTAAGATCTAATGGTCTCCGCGATAACTTATGTAGGAATGTATTATACGCTACAGCTTTTGAAAAATCTATAAAATTGCTGTGAATCATAGGAATGCAATCTTTTTAAATAATTTTGAACGCTAATGGACAATAAATTAGGATTTATAATCTATACCAAAATACTTAATGGTAAAAAAATTTCTTTTTCTTTTTATTAATTTATTTGTTATAAATTATTATGCATTGTTGCGTTGAAAGCACGCAATTTTTACGAAATAGAAAAGTTTCTGAAAATTACTTCATCTATCTTAGTTAACAATAGCATGTGATATAATTATCACTCATGCTCAATTGTATAAATAAAAGTGATATAAATACGAAACGTTGATTTATAAATATATTTATTTAAATGCAACTTTACCTAGAGCCTCCTTTATATTATATTTAAAAATCATTATTTAGTGTTGAATTAATTTAACCTTATCATTGAACGTAATCAAAACTCGAAGTACTATCATTCCCGCTAGTGGACAAAGCCTTATTTTGATTTGTTAAATAACTAGTCCGTTTCTAGCCTCATGTATAAAGCAAAAGCAACACGAAGCCTTACTGATTGATTAGTCCAAGGCGAGTAGTCGTGAAAAGAAATTCTGAAGCTGGAATAACACGTTTACATTATGTTTTCTTGAAACTTGGCGACATTGTTTATTGCAATGAATAAAAATTTTCTCGTGTGTGTTTTAAAGTTAATTTTTGCTACTTAAAGAGTACATCAACATAATCGAGCTAAATATATGTTTCAATCGTCATTCTGTTCGATCAAGTTAATAAGATCGATGTGCTTTAAATGGATATAAATGTGTTTTTAAGTTAATTTTTGCTATTTAAAGATTATTAACATAATCAAGCTAAATATATGTTTTAATCATCATTCTGTTTGATCAAGTTAATAAGATTAATGTGAATTATTCACATAATGAAATTGGCCTTAAAGTTTATTTATTATTATTTTCTTTTATTATTGATTGCGCTTTTTGAGAATTCTATAACACATGTATGCATATTAATATGAGTATTAATAAACAATGATATTTCAACATCCGGAAATTTTGTATTTGTATTAGCAAAGAAAAACGATTGAAGGTAATGTGTACGATAGAAAATTGCAATAGTGGAGAGGTTTGAAATATTAGAAACTAAGCTGTTAAATGGCTAAGTAGGTAAATGATTTTATTTTTCCGTCGATTAAGAAGATCGCAATTTTAGCGAATATCTCACTAATGAAACTTAGCTGTTCGACGAAAAATGAAAAAAGTCGTCCTCGCTATATGGTCATTGCAGGTGGTTTTTATGATTTTTACCTTGAAAATCGTTTCGATTTTTTACTTGCGTTCAAAGTCAAGTTACCACAATAAGAACTATCCTTCGGTTTAATACATTTAATTGTTTGGTAGCATTTTGTACTGATTTATTTTCACAAAGGCCATTAAATTTTATTGCCATTCGACGAAGCCACAGTGAGAATGTTTTACATGATTATTTTTATTTTCTTAAAAACGTTAAAAAAAAAAACATAAAATATGAATAATTGAAATATATTCGATCTAATGAAACGTATAATTAATTGACCATCAAAATGTTAGTGATCGATAAATTTTTCGTAACAGAATTTGACTTTCATTCGTCCATGACGTATTATCCCTCTAAAATATTATTTATTGCGCAAATGAGCAAGTGACCAGTATTTAATATACCCATAAACATAATTCTTTATGGGCTTTCGTAAAGTTTATTCACTTAATGTCCGCCTTAGCATGATTAATATTTTCAACGAATATTACGTTCAATTATTGGCATAATTTATTTTAATTGTTGAAATCTTCCGTGACAGTACGAGTTCGGATTTTCTCATGTCAATTCGCAAATTCCCTCCAATCTTATAGATATTTTCACTTATCGTGTGCTTTACATATTATGACTGTCGTTATTTATTTGACCTTTAATAAAAGGTTTGATAAAATAAGGTCTCCTCTTCACCGTAGATAAGAGTAAATAATTTCAACTATATCGAATACTTACTGTATTTGCTCATTTTTGTTATATTCGCATTATTTTTACAGTACAAAGTTATTACATGCCCACAAGCTAACGAGTAATTTGCTTGCTCATCTAATTGTTTCATTACTATCATCTCGTACATCGATTTTGCGCACGATTAATTGATATTTACATACATAATAACGATTATAGATAAAAATAAATATACAAACGTAAATATCAGATCATTAATGAGTGGCGTAAAAAGTACATACTTATCTTAAGATAAGATTTAACTGAAATCCACGTCAAAGTACTACGAGTACAACGACTCAAGGTCAACCAATACTTAATAAATACCATATATTTTATATTACAGAAAGAAATCTTTCCTATAACTTGTGTAATTGGTGAGAAAAGAAAAAAGCGCTCGACATTGATAAGTGACGAAAATAATCAGCGGCCAAGTCAAATCGGTATCTATATTGAAGAAATAATACCAGAGGGACATAATACTGAAGATATAAATTAATTTATTAAAATGCAACAGCAAGACAACAGCCTCACAGATATTTATAAGGACGTTGTGATAATAGGTAATTAATAATGAAGCTTACGAAAACTATTAAACTGTAAAACTAACATTTCACATTTCACATTTCACATTTCACATTTAAAGTATCGTGAGTGCTTTAAATAGACGCTGGATTGTCGAATCAATAATCTTAATTAGATGAATGTAACAAATAATGTGATTTGAACTATATTTGAGTAATCATTTCGAATTAGAAGAGAAATTAAACGTTCGGAGCAGTACATACTTGATAGGCACCGGCACCGAGCAATGAGCAATGCGATCAATACCAAATACCAAACATTAATTAACATTAATGCCAATAAAGGACTAATGACCTTTGCCATTCATTTATTCATTCATTCATTCATTCATAACTGAATTCTTATAAAATGTCAAACCTACCCATGGCAGGTAACGGGCCAAGTGGCATTTGCTTGTCGTACTTGCTTGCGGGAAACTGGCCCCATTATACGGGAGAGGCTCACAAAGGTGACGAGATGCTGACCGCCAGGCTACGTTATAGCGTATTGACGCACGGCTGCTCGTTGAATGGTGCCGAAGAGGAGGTAATTGCGAGGGAATCCGAGTTCCCCGTCTACCAGAAGGCTCTGCGAGAGAAGAAGGATTATGGCAGTCACTGCTTAGTCCGACTCTCGCAGCGGAAGAACCTCGAGCGCCTTTCCTCGGGCTTGGAGGGCAGGAACAACGGCAAGCCATTGTCTCTGCTGATGGACCAGCTGCAGCATCCTTGTCTGGATGCGGGCCTGGATATGTCGTCGCTTCTTGACTGGAAATCGCCGGAGGAGCACGTCGAGCACAGGCCAATCGACCACGTACTTCTGGGAAAGGGTCCGTCCGGAGGCACTTGGCACGTTAGTAAATCTTACTTTCTTCAAGTATTAATTGCGCTCGCCGTTAAGGTACTGCGTATTATAATACGTCGCGCTAATCCTGAAATTATCCATAGTTATGTGTGTATTGTGTTTTAACGCTGTTAGGCCTTGGATCCGAACGTCTTGACGATAAGTTTAAATCGATGGATGTCGTTGCCAGGCCTCGACCTAAGGCAGTGGAAAGTAAATCTTGATGCGGAAGAGAGAGAACAGAAGCTACCGTATTTCAATAGCGAGACAGAAATTGGTACAAACTGTAGTTTAACTCGTGTACCAATAGGCACCGTGGCTGCCTATTATAAAGACTATGTCATGAAACAAGGCCTCGACAAATATATTCGATGGTTTGTAAGTTGTAAAATTCTTTTTACTGATAAGCTCTCGAGTAAAGAAGTAGTATTACAGGATCAGTTTACTCGTAGTCTTGTGATTAATGCGACTGCCGCAACTCCCTTTAGTTATAATACTGTAATAATGCATTATAGGATCGCACGTAATTAAGCGATAAATGTCTCTTATCGCACAGCGATCTCAGCTCTAGTAAATAAAGAAATGTAATAAAGCGATGATTGAAATAATAAAAAAAAGAAAAAAAGAAAAACAAAAAAAATATTGTAATTTAGGCTCGTATGTAATATTTCATGATTAAAAGAGAAATTCAAACTTATTTCAGTGGTACAGTGGTTACGTCGGTAAAAGCCATTCCATGTGTAGCCAACAATGAGAAAGAATATGGATGGCTAGTGCAAGGCTACGAAACCGAAACGGGACAAACTTTTCAGTATCGATGTAAAAGAGTTGTTTTAGCCACTGGAACGACGGACTTGTCAAATCGACTTGGAGTTTCCGGAGAAGAAACTTATAATTGGGTTACCCACGACTACCAGGATTTCGAAAGAAAGTTGGATCGATTGAACTGTCCACTAAGTACGATATTTTATTAAGGCTATTGAATAATAATGGGTGGAAAATAATTTCCGTTTAAAAAGTGTATTTATTTAATTTCATAGACACGTGAAAAACGTAACGGAGAGTTTAGTGAACAAAGAAAAAATTTATTCTAAGACTGACGAAAGGAAGATAAATGAATTTCAAAATTTGAATATTACAGTGATACGATATCACATAAATTCCAATATGCTTTAGTAGAAATGGGAAAAGTTGCGATAATTATCAATTAATTTGTTTCACTTTCTAAATTACGTATTATTAAATTTGCATTTCAACCATGTATTTCAAGGAACAAATGTACAAATCAACAATAAGTACGATCCAGTTGAAGCAAAAGCGAATATCGAGCCATTACTCATAATCGGCTCCGGTTTGAGTGCCGCTGATGCGATTATGGCCGCAAGATCTCGCGGAATTTCCGTCCTCCACGTCTTTCGAAGTAACTCCAAGGATCGAAGCGGCAAAATGGACAGAAAGAAGAATCTTGATAAGCTTCGGTGGCTTCCGGCCTCGGTCTATCCAGAATACCATAGAGTATACGAAATGATGGCCGATAAGGGTAGAAATTATCATTTCTACAAGTCTCTTCCAGACCACGTCGTAATTGATTTCAGTGCGAGCGCCGATAAATACACTCGGACTAAAATGAGGAAAGTGACACTGTGTACACCTCAAGGAAGACTTATTTCTTATCGTGTTTCCTTCGCTGCCGTCTTTATCGGTAGGTTTTCAAATTATCTTTACACAAGTCTTTCGAGACACTCACAACCATCCACGTTAATGAACAATAAATTTCACGTTTTATGTAAGAAGCCAGAAAAAAAAACAAAAAAACAAAAAAACAAAAAACAAAAACAAAAACAAAACAAAAAAAAAACAGAAACAAAAACAGAAACAAAAAATGTAACGAAAATTGGTACATCAAAGTTATATATGATTAATTTATCCTATTTCGTTAAAATATTGCACGAGAATATTTTCGTCTTAAAAAAACTTTTTCAAAGCATTATCATTGGATTGACGCGAGTCAAATCAAATTTGATGGATACTAAAGGGCAGTTTTTTTTTTTTTGTTATTTTACAAGGTTCCAAGCCCGACTTGTCCTACCTACAAAACAATGGCATTGGCCTTGGGAAGGTAGAGGAGAAACGGATAGACAGTCGTTCGAATCCAATCGACGTCGACGTCTTCACTTACCAGGTTACACGAGCGCCGAGGAAGGGACTCTACGCGATTGGTCCCTTAGTCGGGGACAATTTCGTTCGCTTTATTCTAGGAGGTGCCTTCGGCGTACTAGCAAGCATTCTTCATACGCCCGAATGATCGCAACTTTATTGCGGAATAAGAACAAACGAACAAACAAAAGTTATAAAAAACGAGACAGACTCCAGTGAAAATGAAGAGAACTTATTTATATAAACAGGTGTTATACATACATGGCCGAAGAATCACCCACTTGAAATAATTGTACTTTGCAAGTCTTTTTATATTATTTTTTCAAGAGAGGCGTTCGAATCACGAGACATTCGCGAATCACTGTGTTGAAGAATATTTTATAATAAGAATACGAGAAAACTATTTGCTTTAGTATGTTTTATACTTGAACATGGATCCCATTGTCCAAATGGGATGAACAACAAACAAATCTACTAATTCAATAGGGAGTTTATAATGTATTACTTCCAGCCTTAACAAACGACCCATGATCAATGTGTAGAGATGCCTAATTTTTATTTAATCCAGAATCATATTTGTTATTGAAATGATGAGAAAAGAGTGTTAAAAGATATAACTTAGTTTAATAATTATGAACAATCTGTGATATGAGGTGCGTTTTCTGTGATTCACACTTACGCAACGAAACAAGAATACGTATTAAATATCTCTTCTATTAGGTCTGTTGTATAAAGTTGCATTGTTAAGGAAAAAATGAAACAATAAAAATTACATAAGTAAAATAAATTTAGTTTAATATCATTAAGAAATAAGTTCATTTTATAATTACAATTAATTTAATTTAAATATTTCTTATTAACAGAACCTTACGATCACATTTACTCACAAATATGTTCAATTCTTTGCAAGTTTCATTAATCCTTCATTCTCTTATCCATATATTTAAATATTATAGTCGTTTACATATATAATAATATATAACATAAACATATATCATTTAACATCGTTTCATTACTCACACTTGTAATTAATATTTTATGTTTCATATTTGTACATGTGGTATGATACATCCACAATTTTACATCTTAATACTATTCATCAAAATATAATAGGAAATCTCAAGTGAAATTATTGGTATGGTAATAAATAACGACCACAGCAATAACGATAACAATAAATATAACAACCTTTATAATAAGAATTAGAAGAAGAAAAAAAAACAACAACAAAAATTAATAATCGAAGTTGTAAGATATTTTGAGTAAAATATCAGTCTGAAATTGTAATTTACAATTGTGTAGTGAGGATGACCATGGCTATTTATTTACTAAAATCTATTATGGAAATAATTATATATTAACTACGTCACAAATTTTCAATATCTCGGAATGTGTACGCTAATATCATTTATTACAAATATAAAATTTATTTACAAAGTGTTAATTATTTTTCTTTATTTAGGGTTTATTTGTATTACGGATCTGGTAGGAGAGGCGCATTAAAAGTTCAAGTTAATTGAATACTAAATGAGCCAAATGAGAACAATGCTTATTCGAATTCAATGTACTATTTCCAATATTATTGTTTAGGTTCTTTTTCAAAAAGTGAATCTTCTTAAGATTACATTTATTTTAATTGGAAAATTCAAATACCTTATATTTCGATGAAATGAAAATAACTCAAATTCCTTTAATAATTTTTCGATAACAGCTGTAATCACATTTTACCATACATTCTCATTGACGACTAAACGTATATAAAGTAAATATAAATAATTCGGGCGCAGAACGCTTAATTTTAAAACAGAAAAAAATATTCAAACACTTGTTATTAAAATAATAGAGCAAAGCTTTACAGTGCACTCGTCTTGAAATTAATGAAAGTTGAAATTACGAGAGATTATGCAAGATTATATTATATAGGACATATTAACAAGAGAAAAAGTAAAAAAAATAATAATTTAGTAGACTTTGATAATTATGTAACTCCATTTACGTGTAATATATATATTTTTTAATGTTAATATTTGAATTCTATTAATAATACATCGATCCTCTAATTACAATATTATCTATTACTTATCTACAATGTCATAAAAATAATCTCTTTTTTAAAATCAATGGATTGAATCATTTAAAATTGATTCATGAAAGAATAACGATGGATAAAATAAAATATCACTATATTGTACAATAAAGTAAATTAAATTTAAAAAAATAAAAAAATAAAAATAATAACTCTTATAATTATGAATTTGATATTTCCAAATTTCATTTAAATTAAACGAAATAGCCTTGATCTTCCTAACAAAGTAATACAAAAAATCTATTAATACATACTTTGATAATTTAATTAATTTAAATTAGTTAAAAAAATATGTAATAATTATAGTATTCATTGGTGCCTAAGATAAAAATAATGTATAAAAAAATATTAATGAAATAACCGATCCCACTAATATTAAAATGCAATACAGTTTACGATTACTTTTTTTGTACGATTCTGCTTTTTTCAACTGTTGACAGCCCTCGTGTACTTGAACTTGTGTCTGTTCCATATTATAATCAATTCGGTCTAAGACTGTTCCTTGATCCTGGACCATACATGCAAGTTCCTATTTTCAATATTTAAAAATTTTCGAAATATAATTGTCCGACTCTTATACTATTGTAAGTAATGGTCAATATAGTTACCTTAAACACATTATGAAGCTCTGATATGCTTTGAACAATATGTTCTACTTCTTGTTCTCTTTCCATAGCTATCCTTACGTTTTTTTCAGCATCGTCTATTTGAAGAAGAACAGAATCTTGGCACTGTTGAGTTTGCCACGAACTAGCGTCAGGTTCGTTATTTGTTGAATCATTTATCCAATAGTCCGATGATTTATTCATCATATCAAATGGCTCGTCGTTGAAAAAAAGTCTATTTCTCTCCTCTCTTGAATTAATCTCTAAAATAAAAAGTTAAATCTAGATGCTATTTTTTGCACATAACATGGATAAGAAAAATAAGTAACGACTAAAGTAGAATGTAAGAAATAGTGATTATTTAAAGTATTACTTTGCAAATAATTTTGTTGCGCCGAACGATATCGTAATCCCAAATCTTGTAATGCGGATGAAAGAGCCAAAACTGCATTAATTGCGAGTTGTTTTTCGGCTTGTTTCTTTTCATTTTTGACAGCTGATCTAATTATTTGCACTTGCCGGAATCCACTAGAAAAGGATTTACCTATCTCACGAGTTAACTGTTCCATTTACGCCCTTCCTAAATAAAAATACAAATGCTACTTTAAAATGACATATAAAGCTACACAATGTTTAACTACAAGAAAATTTTTGAACTTGTTAATTACTTGACAATTGTCGTCTAAGGTAGGCCTCGTAAGTTGTTTTGATTGTAATTCTATTAAATTATCTACTTTATTTTTCAAGCGACTTAAAATATACTGAGTTTCTTCTAAGGCATCGATCCAAGGTGGTGGGGCCGTATTACTAAGATTTATCCCTGTTAATTCTACATCATCCGAGCCTATATTTTCAGAATCTACAAGGGCCATTCTATCTGACATATCCTATAAGTAGAAATATGTTTTGATAAAAGTTAATATTACTCTTAATAAATAAACAGTTATATCAGTGAATATAAATATTAACGTATTTATTGATAAATTTACCTGCTCTGCATATAAGTGCTTAGTTTGTAAGGCATTATTTCGCATAATAATAAAAGCTTCTGTCAAGTTTCTGGTTGCCATACTTATAAATAAATATTAACAATAGTTATGCGAAATTTACGTAATTTAAATTAAATTCAAGTGGTGAGCGTCATTTTAATAATTTTGGAATATATATCTGTCAAGTTAATAGGCAAATAGAATAAGAGAGTACGGTCAGGTACGTAATAAAAGAGAGATAGCAGATGATTCTAGTTCCTTTTGTAATACCAACCAAAGAATATATCTATAAACATGAAAAGAAACCATAAATTCAAAAGAGAATAACAAAAAATATTTTAATATCCTACATTATATGCATATATATATATATATACATATATAAATAAAAATATATTAAAATTTTAAGTAACTTATTACAATTAAAGTTTTTATTTAATAAATTAAAAAAATTCTTCTATTTTACAATTTTATTTACAAATTTTTTAATTTTACCTTATATAAATACATAAAATTAAATTTTTTATTTTTATTGCTTCGATTTTCATTTTGTTTTGTTTTGCGTTTAAATTATGCTTTGTCCATTTCGATCACTAATTTATTTGTTTTGTATAAATTTCCAATTATTACTTGTCTTTTTATCGTTTCTAAAGATTGCAATCCTTTTACATAACAATCTTGAATTTTTGTTGGATCTTCTATAATTTTGTTTTTTCGAAATTCATGTCGAATTTTTCGTAAAGCAAATTCTCTAAAAAAACAAAAAAAAAAAAATGTAATCTTGTTAATTATTATAACCATTATTATATTATACAGTAGTTTCCTGTAAACGATAATTCCAAACATGTATTCATTTTAATTGACCAATTTTATAGGTTAAATTAAAAACTAGTAGTTTTTAATATAAAATGTTTGAAAATAAATATGAATAGCGTGATTTTAATTAAGCATACATTTATGAAAGCTTCTTTCATGTACCTGTAATTATAATTACACCACTTTTTACTTTCTCGTAGTAAATTTCGATAAAGCTTTAACATTGAATTCTGACCACACGCCATGTTCTTTTGTTTATGTTGGTTACTCAAACTTTGGTTATGAAACTTGAGTGATTGCAGAGCATATAATAAATCGTTTTCTGTATTCTTTTATACATTTCTGTACTGAACTATAATTGTTAACATTTAAATAATTATTATAGATATTTATAGGAGAAGCACTGTATAAATATTTATTGTTAATACTAATATGGTATTGAATTTAAAATATTAATTGCTTTACAATTATAGATTATGATACCAGTACAATTCTTTTAATATTACATCAACATTTCTGGGAAAAAATTTGGATTTCAATGCGAATGTAAAACTGCAAAAATGAAAATATATTGGTTAATATTGAAAAATTTATTTAAATAAAATTAACTTTAATACAATGTATTAAACTTTTATTTTATTATCATTAGGTTTCGTCTTACAAAAGGTATTAAAAATTATAACTTGAAACTGTTTTATAGAAGTTTGTCAAATATTCCAGAAATTAATAAAAGTCCAAGGACTATTAAACTTTTAAATTATAAGTATTCAACTGATAATTGGACGAATATAACACCAAAAATTATTTCTCATTTGGGGCAAAATCTGCACATTGCAAAAAATCATCCTTTATCGTATGTCAGACAACGAATTATAAATCATTTTTATAAATCCTATTTGAATCGTTTAGGAAATCCTTTATTTAGTGTTTATGATAATATAAATCCTATTGTAACAACGGTACAAAATTTTGATTCACTACTAATTCCAATAGACCATGTCAGTAGAGCAAAAAGTGACTGTTATTATATAAATCAGGAAACTTTGTTGAGAGCTCATACGACAGCTCATCAAGCAGAATTAATAGCATTGGGTTTAGATAATTTTTTAATTATTGGTGATGTTTATCGTCGAGATGAAATCGATTGTACACATTATCCAGTTTTTCATCAAGTAGATGGGGTACGATTGTGTACTATGGAACAGATTTTTAAAAATGTAAGGGATCCAAGCAAACTCAATATTTTTGAATATGGAAGTAATGAAAGTATAGATAAACAAAGATACCATACATTAGAAGCAGTAAAAATAATGGAATACGATTTAAAAAAAACACTCGTTGGTTTAGTTCAAACATTATTTGGTAAAGGTAATACAAATTTAATAAATTAATATATTTATCTCATATTATCCAAACATGTTTGTAAATATAGTCTTCGATTGATCTAAATATTTATTATAATAGACATTAAATATCGATGGGTTAATCAGATTTTTCCTTTTACTCATCCTTCGTGGGAACTCGAAATTTGTTTCAATGATAAGTGGCTAGAAATACTTGGTTGTGGAATAATACGACAAGAAATTTTACATAAAACTGGTGCTGTCGATAGGATAGGATGGGCCTTTGGTCTTGGTCTTGAAAGACTTGCTATGTGCTTATACTCTATTCCTGATATAAGATTGTTTTGGAGTACAGACAGTGGATTTTTAAATCAATTTGTAACAGATAATATTAATTCATCTATTACATATAAAGTAAATCCAAAGGCATTTTATTAAAATTTTTAAGTATCATTTTTTGTTTTAAATAATTCATTGTTATAAAAAAAATAATCATTTTTGCGATTAAATATATTTTCTAAATAATTTTTTATTATATATTAAATTTGTTGATTAATAATTTTGAATTCAATAATAATTTATTGATTAAATTGAAAAATGTTTTTTAGCCCATTAGTCTTCACCCGCAATGTACTAACGATATCAGTTTTTGGCTGCCTCAAGACATAGAATATTCTTCAAATGACTTCTATGATATTGTAAGAGAGATTGGGGGTGATAAGGTTGAGCAAATTCTTTTAATAGACACGTATGTTAACCCAAAAACTAAAAGAACTTCGCATTGTTATAAAATTGTTTATCGGCACATGGAACGAGTACTTTCTCAAGAAGAAGTGAATAAAATTCATAAACAAATAGAAATAACAATTTCAAAGCAATTAAATGTAGTAATTCGTTAATTAATTAATTTATTGAGTCACTTATTTTATATGTAAATAGGACAATATTTTTAAAATAATTAAAAACTTATAAACGAATATATTACCTTTTATTTCTCCATAAATTAATTACAAATATATGATACATTAAACAAAACATGTTTAATATGAATTAGCGTATCTATTTTTAATCACCAAGATTACAATGTCCGCTATGTGTTTTAATTAATAAAAGATATATATCTTTTCCGAAAACGGTCTTATCATTATGTGAGAAATTTTTTTTTTAAACTAAGCAATTTAAGAGAAATATATACTAATCGATAAATGATATCTTTGGTAGATTAAGTTCAGCTATTTATGAATTGATGTAAAGCTAACTTACATTAACTTTACAAAGTATAACATTAATCGAACGTTACTTGTAAAATTAATATTTAACATTGATATTGTAAGTCTATTTTTGAAAGAATTCTTAATTATAACTTCGTTTTATGTTATAGGGAAAATGCAAGTACATATTTCTATTCTTATAAAATCATAGGATTAAAGACGACTAGTTACGAGAAACTGTAGTTATATTCTAAAATATCTTATTAATAACTATTTGATAACATTAAAAACTATGAAAATAGCCGTGCAGAATTCTGCAAAAGTTACTACACCAAATGCTAGTAGTCTTTATCTTGAGACTTGCAGGTTCCCTATGATATTGTTATTTTTAAGAAAGATATTTATCATTAGATGATAGAATATTAAATACAAAATATGCTCGTTAAAAAAATCATTTTAATATATTTTACATAAGCGGAACAGCGATTGATGTTCACTTTTACGCCATCACAGTCTGTTTTCTACGACATTTGTACACACAATGATTTACTTCACTTCATAATTTCCACATATATTAGAAGTAATATTATAAATAGCTAATAATGTATATTGAATAATGATTGAATTGTGTATAAAAAGCAAAATTTATCGAAAAAAAAGAGAATGGATGAAAGCTTGCAAAATAATCGAGAAATCATCAATCTCGTGTGTAAAATAACTGCATAGAATACTGAAGATATTAAATTTTTGTATTAGAAAAAAATATTATTATATATTTTATAATAATGCAATTGCTCAAATTTACACCGGTCTCAAATGTTATCTAATCACATACACAGAATAAGATGCACTATGAACCGAAGGCAACGCACTTCCGTGTCTCAATCGAAGTCAGGATAAGCGTAGAGGGGAAGTCAAAATTTCTTGATGATTACAGAAGCAAAATAATATCAAGTCATCTCTCCTTATCAAATATCCAAGAGCCGATATCAACTCTTGATCAACTCATGTCTGGCTCGTTGTGAATAGATTTACCATGTACAAGTAAATTAGATAGAATTTGTGGATATGAGGCTACTAATTGCTTCGTATAATAAAAAATTAGTAGCAAATGCCACATCATCGATATACGATGTTATTTTAAAAACGATTATACAATAAGTTAATCGGATCAGTGATTTTTAAAATAGATTAACTTCTGTTGGAAATATTACATTCAAGGCAAAAATGTATATTTGAATTTTATTTACTGACGACAATTTCTATGATAACTTTGTGTAACTTGGCGGAGAAAACTTTTTCCTCAACAGTTTAAGTATGTAAAGAGGCATACAAGATACGAGAGTTATAACCACTACTTTCCATAAGAAATCTGGCGTTTTAATAAATTCGGCATCTAAGACAAATAAAAAAAAAAAAAAATTATCCTTTCCGTTTTATTATACTTTATTAAGTAAATCGTATAATTATAATTCAAATTGTTTACTTACCAAAATAATCTTTCAAGACAACTAGTGATAGCATGTATAAGGCCAAAGAGAAAACTTCTGCAAGAACCATTATATGATGCCATGTTCTAATTGTCAAAGCTACCATAATCAATTCTGTTAAAACTAAAGCTGAAAAGCTTATAGCAACTATATGAATAAATTCATCTTCAAACATAATTAACGCACCATACATTATAACACCGCCTGCAAATGCACATTTATACATTGAATTTACTTCAAATAGATTTGCATAAATAATATATCATATAAGCATTCATAAAAGAAAATTCTTTTACCTTGGTAAATGCTGATTAAAACCCACATGAAAAATGTTTTATACGACAATGACCGACCTTTGCTTAAATCTTTATAAAGCTCTGGAAAAGTCAAAGCTATTTTTCCAGACACATCTTTGTCTAAAACAAGTGAGAAAACAGGGAACATGGTATATATAGTTGCGTATCTGTAAAATGTAAGTTAACGTTAGTATAGGCACAAAGCAAATATCAATAATATACTAATCTCTTTTACTACGTACCCAACCATTAAGAATCCTTGATAGAGTGGAACTGACGAGAAGTAAAATACAGCGGAAAATACAGCCTGCATTGTTGAAATAATTAGACCACGATGTATAACAAATTGACTCAGAGCGGCGGATCTTTTATAACTTCGTCTACCATGAACAAGTAGCAAGTTTGCCAAATGACTAAACTGTTGAATTGAAAAATCAGCAGCCAAAGATGCTTGTCTACCTTCAAGACCTTCAATACCAATACCTATTAAGACAATTTTAATTAATTGAAATTATTACCTTGTTCTTTATTTATATTACACTAAAATTATTTAATTTTAAAGCCAGGTTTAATTTACGATTTGTAAATATCATAATAAAATATGTAAATAAATTTCAATTAAATAGTCTTTCTCTTTCATATACAAGTATTAAAATAACCAAATGCGTGTAGTTAATTTTTTAGAGTTAAAAATTCAGAGAAAAAGTAAAATCGCACAAAGAGCTAATGTTCCATATATATGTACATTTATATTTATATGATATTAAATTAAATAAAAATGTAATTTTATTTTTATTGGTATTGTAGACTATTTCAACGACAGATTCATATTAAAATCTTCCTGAAATACTCATTTCACTCTTATTATTATTGAATATTATTATAAAAACTTACCAGCATCAGCAGACTGAATCATAGAGACATCGTTTCCACCATCGCCAACAGCAGCAGTCCTTTTGCCGGTATGCCTTTGTATTAAGCTAACAACCTCAGCTTTTTGCGTTGGCGAACAGCGGCAACAAACTACAGCTGGTGAACCACATGCGAGTTCCAAAAATTCATCCTCGTAATACTGTAGGCATACCTCCAGAGAATCACCACTTATAACAAGGGCGCAATCTTGCTTTTTCCGGAATATATTTAATTCTAAATGAGCATCTGTTCTTGTTACAACTGATTTAAATACATGGAGACCCTGCGTTCGAGAAACAAGTCTCGAAGATTTCGCTATACAAGTTGCGGTCTCTAGTTTATCTCCGGTTAACATCCAAATCTACAACAATTGTTATTTTATTACAAATCCATATATTTTCGATGTTTTTATATAATAAAAAAAAAAAAAAAAAAAAAAAAATATTAAAAATGTCTTCAACCTTTATTCCTGCATTTCTTAAAGATTCTAACGTAGATCTAACTTTATCCTGTAATTTGTCTTCGACTCCTGTAACACACAGTAATTCCATTTCTCGTTCAAGACTCTCAATTACGGCAGTAACTCTTGACACACGATCAGTGACACACATTCTTGCGGCATTGTATCTAAAACGTAAGAAATAATTTATCTTGCGTAATTTGTTGCTTTAATAATAAAGTATTATCATGTGTTGCTTTTCATAAATATAATAATGAAAATTACCTTGCTTCAAAATCTAAGTACTGCTCTTCAGTCAAATTCTTTTTTGCTACAACGAGTGTACGAAAACCTTCTCTAGCCATATTTCCGCATTCTTCTTCTAGCCAATCATTGTATTGTACAATTCCAGCCATCACAACGTCAGCGCCTTTCAAATAAAACGTAATTTCATTCGTCGATTCTTCTTTAACGATAACACCCATTCTTTTTGTTTCGGAAGTAAAGGGAAAAATTTGCAGAATCGTATAATTTAAAAGTTTGCCATTTGGAGCTTTAAGTTGCATGGTATTTAAATCTCGTTTTATTAATGCCAAACCAACTTCTTCGGTCCATTTAACTAAGGCTACTTCATCTGGACTTGATGCTTGGTACGTAAGTCCTTGATCTGAATTATAATTACTATCTCCTTCTGGTTGACTAAAATTTTAGAAAAATTATACATTAAATTAACTTTTTGTTATAATACGATTACATTTTTAATTTATAATTATTATTAACAAAAGTCAAAAGTTTAACATATAATTGAGAATTGTACGTTATATTTAATAACGTATGTACGAAAATTTAAAATTGTCTGTTTGTTTAAGCTAAACTGAGATCATTATTTTCTAAATAAAGTAATAATAAAATTATATACCTTCGAACAGAATTAGTTTCCACAGTTTCAACACTATCAGTATCGAGTTTACTATTAAGATCTTTATTTTTGACATCATCGTACACAGGTGTAACATTGTGACATAAAGCTAGTGCATGTACCGCTTCGTAAATCCTTGTGTTTTCTGATCTTCTAACTTTTCCCGAATATGTATTAGTCGATACCTTTATCGGTGAAGATTCGGAATCAATAGTATAAAAAGTTTGTAAAACAGAAGACACTTCATCAAAAGAATCTTGTCCATAAGAGATAGTTCCCAAATGCAATTTCTTAAACACCATTTTATTTTGTGTCAAAGTACCAGTTTTGTCACTCAATAAATATGATATTCTGCCAAGTTCTTCCGGAATTGTAGTAGTTCTTACAACTGTGCCAGCAATATCTTTATCTCTTTGGATGCACCAAGCATAAAACGTTTTTCCCATATCTAAGTTTACTCGAAGACTGATTGGAATTATGTAAGAGAAAAGTAATACAAAGCGGAACATATAGCGATACCATGGACCACTAAATCCTTTCAAACACATCATAACTAAAGCCAAACCAATAACAGCACAAAACAGAACCTAAATAATATGTTAATATGAATTGTTTTATAAATACATACGTACAAAAGGGCATACATACATAAATGCATACATACATACATGCATATATGCGTACATACGTATGCGCGCGCATACACACATACACGCGCACACACGCGCATACACACACACACACGCGCGCGCGCGTTCAAGCGTTGAAATTTTTTATATTTACTTTTGTTAATTGATTAATTTCTTCATCGAGTAAACCAACTTTAGATCTTGGTGCCGAATGATTCATTAATGATCTTGTTTCCTGTCCTGTATAAACAACAACTCCTAATGCTGAGCCTGATGCAATTGCTGTATTTGCCCACAATGTATTGTCAACCCCAAGACTTTCTTCACTGCTATATCCATCATACTGCAAATAAAGTTTAATGTCGTATAACTTATTTTATAATTTTGATATTTTTAAACTAGCTTAAACAAAAGTATGGCACATACTCTTGTAAATGTACCAATAAAACTATGAATATCTTTTTGTGGCTTTTCTACATAAAGACTAGCTTTAATATCAAATAGCTGAGAGTCTCCGTCTAATTTTTGCGTTGTTGGTACTGCTAATCGCAGTTTCCAATCAGTTTCTCCATCCAGTTGATCAGTTCGTACAAAGCAAGCACCAGACTTTTCTGTTGTTCTCAAAAGAACAAGATCTGCTGGCACTCTCTGACCTTTTTCTACAACAACCTATGTAAATTTAAACTATGTAATTAAAAATTTAAAGCACAGAAAATATGAATTGTCAAAATAATGCATGTGTATAATTTTTCTTAATCTTTCTTAAAAAAAAAAAAAAAAAAAAAAATTTTAATTTTTTTAAAAAAAAAAAAAAAAAAAAAAAAAAAAACTACTTCTTCAAATAATGAAATGATATTATATTATTTAATAATATATATAATATAGTAAAGACTTACTAAATCTCCGACTCTTAATTTTGAACTTGGTACCAGTTCTGGTGTATTAAAACCTTTAACTAATCTATAATATTTTTGACCATTAACTTCTTTATCTCTCTTATATCTTCTACAATCATCCACAGCCTCTCTGCAGAGTGTGACTGCCAAAACAAAACATAATGGTCCCCAATATGTATATAAATATCCAATTCTAATGTCTGGTATAAATTGGGAAATGGCCATTAATAAAAAATAGAGATTGAGAAAAAATTTAAATTGTTGAAATAGAACCTGCGATTAATAAAGGATAAAATATTGTTAGAATTCTTTTTAATTATATTTTTAATGGAATAGCTAGAGTACAAACCATTGGTAAGAAAGTAATAATACTATATTTTTGGTTACGAATGACATTTGTTGGAAACTTTTCGTACATTAGCTGACCAATTTGTATAGTTCTTGCCCTCAATTCTTTTTCTTTGCAACATCGTCGCCACATCCATGTACAGCATCTGAAAGACGAAATCACGTAAATAATGCACACATAGCAAACGTTAAAAGTTAAAATTTTCAGACAACAGACATAACTTCTGATGTTAACGATTTGCAAACTAACTTTATACAACAAAATTATAATAAAATAGATTAATAAAAGTGTATAAAGATAGTGTAATTAATAGTATATAATAAAAGCTTCAGTGATAGCATTAATTAAAAATATGCACATTGTAATAATGACAGATATGACAGCACAATAAATAACGTGTATCCGCATTAAATTTACAATATACACGTTTACATGCAAACTTTGTTTATCGAATGGAATACTTGATAATTTGTTTAAGAATGAAAGATCAATGTTTTACATTAGCTATAGTAATGTAATGAAACTACAATATAATGTACCATTTCAAAACAACTATTGATCATAAAACAAATAATTAAGTAGAGTATATAAAATATATGCATACATATATATATAGATATATATATAGGTACTTCCGCATACGCGCGCGCGCACACAAACGCACGCACGCACACACACACACACACACACGCGCGCGCGCGCGCATATATATAAATTAGCAATATGGTGAATTGAATGTGATGTAATGTTGAAGAATTTAAAACACATTGTAACGTTGATTTTTAAGAGCAATTATGAATAAAGCAATTTCCTTCTAAAACATTAAGTAATGCGTTTGAGAAACAAATATTTATGATTTACTTATGAGCGCAGTGCATGCATCAAAATATGACAAAGGAATCTTAGGCAAAAAGATCCCTAAACAAATCACTATGTAATTAAACAACTTTTGACAATGTGATAAATTAATAAAGTATCTGTCAAAAAAAAAAATTACAATCGTCGCAAGAATTGACCGAGGGCCGAGTAGTAACGTCGCAGTCTTTCCATCATGTGCAGCTGCTATGGTGTTTTTTGTGTTGTATTACATATGTATATATAACAATATACGCGAGACTGGACAGAGTGCGAGACTGGATGTGGCAGTCGTGAAGGCTCGAGGCTCAAGATATGTAAAACAGCGCAGAAGAATGAGTCAGAGACTGGCGTGGCCTGCACGAACATGAAAAAAAACCTGCTGGGGAGAAAAGTTCGGTTCTGACGCCTTCTTTATTAATACGTCACCTCGTCCACGAGCTGATATGTCGCGGCTTGCTTATCAATGGAATGTCCTCCTTCGACAGGCGAATAATGTTGCTCTGATTTTCCATTTCAAACATTCAGACGGGCGTAACAACCCGCCCGTCACGCTAATACAACACTATCACGGCTCGTTTTTGGCCCCCGTAGATACGCGAATATGTTCACTAATCGTAGCACCGATTGAAAATTAACGTAAACACAATTGGGAACGATGTAGGCAGTAAACTTATTGACAATTGTGCTGCGGCGCTCTTACGTGTGGCGTTTCAGACTTGAGGATCTGTAAACGCATACGTGCGTACATAGGCACACTTCCACGCATTGAACCGTTCTGCCTCAAATGACGTCAGAAATGTCATATTCAACTGAGCATAGAGAAGGAAGTTTCAAGATCAGCAACAGCAGCACCTCTACCCACTACACGCCTCTGTATATTATGTATACAGAGTAATTGGCCTGTTTACTCGCCTATTAGCAACATCTCTGCTTTACTTTAGATTGCGACATTTCTCGTTTGATTATTAATTACGCTTGTGATATTATAATCTCTCTCTCTCTCTCTCTCTCTCTCTCTCTCTCTCTCTCTCTTTTTGTTTTTATAAAGGTAAAGATATTTTTAACAATATTTCATCGCGAAACAAACGCATTCGTCAAAATGCATTTGAAATCTTTGTTTATGCAATCGAATGCACGTAGTACACGTTCGTTCTCCACGTTCGAATTGAAAATCGTGCTGGCGGATTACAGAGACATTAGTTAATGATTATAGAATTAAAACACCGTCAATAATTATAGAAGAATAACTATATCGACCCGTTCGATAGACTGACGCATCATTATAATAACCTTCGCATTGTAATTCGCGTTTTATTTTGGTATAATCATATTTATATATATATATATATATATATATATTATTAAAGTTACTATTTTTTCGGATTACATAAGAACGTTTAGGTGGGTGGATGTCGCATAAAAAAGAAAAAAAGGGAAAAAACTGTAATGCTGCCAATATTTTATTTTTAATCCATTATAATGTTTTTTTTTTTAAAAGACCATTTGTTTACGAAATGTGACGAAATTTGAGTGTATTGAAAAAAAAAAAAAAAGAAATGATAATGATAATAATATTAATGTTGATACAACGTACGTAGATATAATTTCGGAGAATTTGAAATTATGATTATACATATCGATCGATTATATAAGCGTCAACGATGAATCCTAGATAAATATACAATCTTGCTTATTAATTTAATAAAAAAAAAGACTTTCGTAGCATATAATCATAATATTTGGAATGTATTAGTCACTGAATGAATGTAAGTTTTCCATTAGCACTCTCAAGTTCAGCTTGAAAATACTCAAAAGTTTATAGCAGCACGAAGAAAATTATTAATATTAAAATATAATTTTTATCCTTAACATAATAAATTAACATATAATAAATACTTATCAATTACTATTTGAGATTAAACAAATTAATTAACATGATTTTCAATTAATTTTAACTTGAACGGCTTAAAACTGAGACTTCTATTTTAATATTAAGAAAAACATGTGTACATTAGATGCATAAACACCATAGTCAGCTTTAAATAATTGATTTGCTTTACAATGTTCTTTATAAAATTATGAAATATTAATAAGTATGATGTATTATAAAAAGTATTTATAATCAGTTTCTTTTATTAACTTAAAAGTCTTCAAATTTTTTTCTCTTTATTAACCCTATATAATCTTTATTAGGTAACAACATTTGTAACAGTATTTTTCAAATTTAACGCCCTTCATCTGGTGGACAATTCAACAACTAAAAAAAAAAGAGAACAATATATCTCTGCACTTATCGAATAACGAAACAAGGATGCATGATGCCGTATAAATCTAACCTCTTTCTTTGACAAAGTAATAATATCCGATTCCATTATAATCAGTACGTTTATATTTTTGTTTTCAACTTTTTTTCTCCCCCCCCCTCCCGCCCCACCGCCCCCGTCGCTATAATTTTAACAAGTATAATCGTGCAAAAGCAATATTTTCATTTTAAAAATTAAAAACCTATTTGGTTTTTGATTCACACAAACAAAATATGTTTGTCAAAAAATAATAAAAGCCTATATGTGTTTGTTTGGCGGAAGTGTAGGAATCGCGTTCTGATAACTTATGTGCTTTATCCAACAACAAACGCTTTAAAAAAAAAAAAAAAAAAAAAAAAAAAAAAAAAAAGAGGAAAGGAAAGGAAAAAACAACCAAACAATACGAGTAATACGTGAAAGAGAAAAATCCTGCTATTTAGAGATCGAACGATTAAAGGTCCCATTAAAATATTAAAAAGACAAGAAGCAAAAATAATGAAGTAAAGTAAGGCCCAGGGGATCTTAAAAACATTTGCTCCCACAGGCGCATTACTCACTCACCCACACAAGATGTGCTTGAGCAATTGGGAGCATTTGGACAGTCGTCCGTGACGATTCCTATTGCTCGTCATCATGCGTATACTATCTTCCGCCGGCTGCAAAAGATAATCGGTTTCCTCATCCATTTCAAAATCCCGCTCGTCGGAGCTCAGCCGCAATGGCATCTCCTCTAACCTCATCGCCGTGTTCCGTATTCGAGCCAGCTTTCTTCAACTGTTGCTCCAGCTTCGTAATGCCAGCGGCGATGGTACGCCAATTTCCTCCTACTCGCTTCATCAATCAAAGGACGCGCAAGGTGACCACGAGGATAATTTAATAATCGAACGGCTAAATAAACAAATACAGCTGGACGACGGAGGCCTTGCTCGACAGTCCCGTCCTCGTTCCTCCGTCCACCCCGCGCATAACAATCGCGTCAATCGTCAAAGCTCCCACCACTTCGCTTGCAGGCTCCCTGGACCGTTAACGCCTAACCATGTCGTGAAATTGGAAGGAATTCGCCATCGTCGAGCACACGCACCAGCGCGCAAACGTAGAGTCATTCGTACCCACGAGCCAGCACACGCGCATAATCATTAGTGGGCACACGTGCGTTATAACCGAGGCCGGACAATTCGAGCCCGTTGGACTTCCGCCTCCTTATTCCTACGAGTCTTGCGATGCTTTTATCTACGTACGCGCGCGACTTATCGATTGTGCATACTTTTTCACGATCGAGGCTAAGCGTACACACGTGTACGCCATACGCGCCGCAGTCCCGATAAAGACGTCAACATAATGGCATCGTGCCAACTCCGTTCAATCGCAGTGTCAAAATAAAAACTCGACGTCCCGTAAATTCCAGTCTTCACTACTCATATTGAGACATCCCTTTCTCTCTCTCTCTCTCTCTCCCTCACACACAGCCCCTCTGTCTAACTATCTATCTATATCACTCTCTTCGTAATGCGGATTTCACGTGGACTGGCTGCTGGATCTTTCATTAAATTTGCGCACTCACAGAGCTAGGAATATGGCCTTATCTCTAAGGAGGAGACGTTACGAAATTATGAGGCCTAAGGCTATTAGTGCAATCGCGGAAACGCTATTGGAGGAGTAGATTTTTTTTTTTTTTTCAAGCACGTTCAACCGGTACGACCACATCATTTCTATACTTTATTGCCATTATTATCAAAGTATGTATATTATGTATTTTTCGCATTTAATTATTCCATTATTAGATAAGTGCCACGCTACGTATTTTAGATAAGAAAGAATAAATATTACTCTATTACTTGTGTTTACATATGTTTACTTATGTTTTATTATTTAAGCTATGTTTTTCCAATGAAATTAAATAAATTTGTTCAAGCTCTTTTATGCTATCTATTGCCGTGTCGTCCCTCATAAGAACCAATATCCTTTCGAATAAAAGCTTAATAAGACTCTTTTCGGTCATCATTGCTAAACTTAAAGATAATCTATTGCATTTGCTAAAAATTTGTAATAGTTCAATGACATCCGCAACATTATCGGTAGCACAAATTTCTATGGTAACGTGAAAAAATTCTTGAAGAAATTCGGTCGGCACTTCAACATGGAAAAACTTTTTTAATAAGTATTCCCTGCAATATAATTGCCTTTTCAATACCAAATTCAAGCAGTCATGCATTATCTATTAATTAATTACCTAAATTCGATCAAGTACTCGAATTTTAATTTACAATCGGACAAATTATTCCAAATCCTCAAAAATTCTGCATTCGTTTGTGGCTTTTTAATAAGAGAATCGTTACTTGATTTTGAATTGAGAATATTTGATGTATTGTGTGCTTGTAGGAGCGCTTCTTCATTTTTGTTAAAACAATGATTCCATGATACTTCAGCTTTTTTTTTCATCTCTGATCGCTCTAATGGTCGTAGATGTGCAGCTTGTACCTGTTGCACTCACTTAGATGACTCGATAGGCATTAAAATATTATTGGAATAAATAATAAAATCTTACCATATTATAAAAATGATCATAAGTTGGAACTCTTTGTTCAATCGCTCGAAGTTTCGCGTCATTTTGTAATTTATATAATTCATCCGCTTTCAAAGCTTCATCCAACTCGTTTTCTAACATCTTGTAATCTATAGGCTTCTTAAGACTACTCATTATTTTTTAAATTATAACAATGCCTTGATTAACCAATTAGATATTACGAACTATCTTCTACTGCATAATTAGGCGATTTTACTGTTTTATGGTTATCGTTGTCATAGTAACCATAGAGCTGCTTACTATAAAACTAACACGAACATTATTTTTCAAATATTATAAATAAGACTATTATTTACATTTAAAGAACATATACAAATATTAGACAAATATTTATACAAATTTTAATTATTTAATCTTTTTTATATTAAATGATGTACTACTATATGCATTAATGGCTTTTAGCCCAACGTTTTATACGATTAGAATAATTAAATCAATGGCTTAAAAATGAAAGTTACAAATTTTAAATATTTATTATCGCGAGTGAAATTAAAACAAATTGTATAACAAAAAATAAATATATATATATATATATATATATATATATTATTTTTGTCTATAGGGGATGAATGAAGAGGAATATTTTAGTTTATTCATATTATTCATATTACTTAATTAAATAAATATAAAATCTGAAGTAAATAAAAACTATGCTAGTAATATTTTTATATACTTCTTATATTTTTGATTAAGTTTATTTTATTTTTCATGTAAATAAATGAGTAATACTTTTATTAGAAAGATGTAGAAAAATATAAGGAAAGATAGCAATTTTTTAATTTATTGCTAAAACGCTCCATTGATACAATTATCTTAAACCTAATAACGACAAGACGTTTTTAAAGATAAACAATACTGCAATTAAATTGATTATCTTATTTATCTTTAAAAACATAATCGCCGTAATTTAGTTAAAAGAAATTTATATAGACTATATCGCTTAAGTACTCTGCTTTATAAAATTAGTTTGTGAAAGTATCGTCTAGCCTCTTTTCATGTAGAGATGATTCATAGATAAAACTGTTCTTTAATAATCTAATAATAACGGAATAGTTAATAATGCGTAAAAATGATCATAAATAAATGTCCATAATATTCTTCAAAGTGCTTGTACAAATGATGTTTAATTAATAAATTACTATTCTTAATATTTAAAGACATTTTTATATAACATACGCAATTCAATCATTTGTAAAATTAATAGGAATGTTTAATTAATTTAGACGATGAGTCTAATAGTTTAGATATGAAATGGAAAAATATTTATTGCTAAACGTTTCTACCATTTATCATATTTCATATCTGTTAACAAAAACTCCCTCAGTTTTTTTCATCGGATTTTCAGTTTTGATATCTGAATATTATATAATAACAAAATATTTATCACAAAAATCGCTAAATATAAAATATCCATAAATTTTTATGTTTATAAAATTATGTTTATAGAACCAGATAATGCTTAGAATAATATATTCAGATCAATATTCAATAATATCATTAAACGATTTTCATATCATATGCATTTTTTAATGCAAGTTTCTTACGCGAGTGATATTTAATCGAGATTAAACAAAAATTAAAAAGATTTAAAAAAAAATACGGGGAAATTCAATAAATATTCAATGGATATGCCTTAAAAAGACAGATTTTTTGTTTTTTTTGTTTTTTGTTTTTTTTTTTTTTTTTATTTTTTCATATACATTTAAATTTAATTAGTAGATTGTTAATCATAAGAACCTTTTTAAATAAACTTTTTTTTTTTAATCTATTGATATTATTATTATTATTATTATTATTATTATTATTATTATTAATTACTACTATTATAATTTCAGATAAAATAATTTATGTTAGAGTATTTTTTTTTTCTATTTACTGAACATGCGTGTCATCAGTGATTTCCTTTTCTTTCAGAAGCTTATCTTTTCGTTTCTTCACCAACTTTTCGTGAATTCTTTTCATTTCAAGAATTTCTTTCATTTCTTCCTTATCTTCTTCCTAAAGCATAAAAGTACGATTATTATAGCTTTGTCATTTGAATGTGCATACAATATAGTAATTAAGATGTGGTAAAAAATTTGGAAGAAATCTTACGGATTGATTTAATCGTAACACCAGTGCTTTTCGCCCATCAGACATTGGCTGCGAATAATCGTTTAATTTTTTCAATCTTTCCGCAGGACTCACGCCTCTCTCAACCACAAGAACAATTCTTGCCCACTAAAACAATATTATATTAATCCATGCTTAATCTATATTTTATTACCATCTATCAGTTGCTTATCAAACATAACGAACGTATGCATTATAATGCCGAACAAACCTGTCTTTGCCATTCGTTTCGCGTTTCCGCTATTTTTTGATAAGTGTTGCCCATCATAGCGATTAGCATGTTTACCAGTAGAATGGCAACGATAGCCATATAAACCACAAATAGCGACTGCAATAGAGAGAAAATCTTAATTTCCACGTCGGCTTTCATACGGCATAAATAATGCATTAAGCGTTAATGCATAAGCGCCCAAAATATCAAAAACGCTTGTAAATGCTATTTTCGAGCTAAGACGTAAGCATGCGAATCACTAGAGAGTCAGAGTCACCTTGGCCTCCATCTCGTGCTCTGTGTTCTCGAACGCGTCATAATAATCGCCAAAATTCGTCATGCTCATAAGGAACATCGCCATGATACTCTCCATTGGCGATGGCATGGGATTAGCCTTTGAATCGTCAACTCCCTCGGGCGTGATTGGATTGTCAAATGACAAGAATATTATGTAGTAGGCTGAAACAATATTGTTGCTGTAAGGCGTTTGCTTGACGATACAACCTAGCGAAGATCCGAAGGAATAAGCGGACGTTGCGCTACAGATTTGGCGCACATATTTTGTCGTCCTTATAAGTACCGTAAAATTGAAGTATTCTGTGATTCGTTGGAATAAGAGAATCGACGCGTGAGAATCTAACTCGAATAGTTTTCGCTTCGTAGAGAAGAGGCGAATAACTCCAATGTCGATGGTAAGCGAACAATTTTTCAATTTTTCTTTTCTCCATATTTTTTTTAGGATAAAAATTAACTTTCTTCGATCTCTCGTTGTACTGAAATCTATAGATACTACGCGATATAAATACTTTCGTCTGTCTTTATTTCATTTCTGACATTTCTAAAGTATTCCAAAGTCGTGTCTTACATTATCACTTATCTGCACAATGGTATCGTGCACATATCGACGTACAATCCTAACTTTTTTTTTTTTTTTTTTTTTTTTTGTATTAAAAGTCGAATAAAAGTGTACTCGAACATTTGATAGCTTTGTTGATCAGAATCGTTATGATTATTTAAAATAAGTGTCATGCTCAATCATGCGATCGGTATAAAAATCTCAAGACTAGGAAGCAATATTGCATTTTTAGACGATTGATTTTATACAATCTATAAACGTCAAATTTCAAAGAGATTGCTAAGAAAAAATATTAAAATTCGGAATGCAAATAAAATATAAGTCAATGGCACCGTGCCATTCCTCACGGGGTGCATAGATGATTCAGTTTTCAGAAGTGCATAGAGCAAACACATAAAGCGTTACATAATACTCGTGCACAGTTAACATAATCTGACCTTGGCATAGTACCCGTATGCTCCTCGCATTCCACTAATGATGGAGTGAATTTATGTCAATATCGGGTTACAATATGACTGCTTATTTGGCTTAATCCGGTTTTCTCATTTACTCTATTTACAGGAAATTTCATTTACACCGAAAAACCATATCACAAAAATTGATAGTTAAACAAAGCAAAAATCATCCCTCTAAATCTCGATAAAACGATCCGCGTTAACCCACGTAATTTGATTGAATAATCAGACATCGGATGGACTAGTCATTTTCATCACTATTTAATTTCAAAAAGGGATTAATAATTCTTCTACTATTATACATAGATACGATGGCGAAGATATACTGTGCTCATCAGCTCGTATATTATGTACTGAAATTCTTGGAATGTATCGTATTACAGGAACGGACAGTAAATTTGCCATCGGACAATTAATCATCGCTTTTCTTATGCGTCTGTCATGCTTGTATTTTATGAATCTTACTTAATGGAACAAAATAACAATGTAGTGGGCGTTTAATTTTATATTTTGACAGTATGTTAACTGGTTTTTCTTGCTTTATTAAATATCAAAAGTGAGGTGGCTTTTAAAATTTCATATCATTTAAAATTCTTTTAAAATTCATACATACTTTATGAAATGATCAATAATTTCTAAATAAGTTCATAGAGAAACTTGAACTTGAATTGTCTGAGAGCTGACATTATTTTAGTTTTAATTTTTATTTGTCCCAAAATTAAATAGATTTAAAATATGTTAGTTGCATTTCACATTTGTATTCCAACATGTTAGAACACTGTCAATTTCAATAAATCATAAATGTATATAATAAACTGCATGGTATTAACAAAAATCCATGAAATTTAAAGCCTATTGGTTGTAATTCATGCGCGAGATAAGTTTTATACCTTAAATAATCTTGCTTATTCTTCGTATTCGAAGAGCATAAAACATGCAATAAAACAGGTTTTTCACGAGAATTAAAAATTTAACAATAAGCATATTTATAACTTTACCTTTTGTAGGTAATTAAAACAATATATTAAGTACGCCGATTTGATACGAAAAATTTGATTTTATCCACGTGCAGTGTGGACATTTGAGATTGTGTTTGTGAGTAGTTGCTTTAATAGAATTCTAAGTATATTAAATAGCGACTGTGTATAAGTAGTATTTGATTTATTATTAGAAATATTGAAAATAAAATATTATTTATATTGCGAGTAAGTTATGTAATTAATCATTCATAATACTGTAATTACGAATATAAATATTTTAAAATAATGATTACTCGTTAATTCGACAAGAAGTAAATTCAAGAATAAAGAAATCAATATTGAACGTCATCAAGCTTATTTGAATAAATCTTTTCTTATTTTGTAATTAATTTGTCAATTTATAATTAATTTCATAATTTTAATGACCAATAATGAAGTCTATAGTAATCACGAATTTTTTTTAGCTAAGATGCAATCAAATATTTATGTATTTAATAACGCAAACGATGACTGTATACATTTGCATAGAAAGGACAGATATGTATTTATAGGAATTCATTCGTGTAGTGACAAATATTTTGCACGAAAATTAATTTTAAATGAGCAATTATTGAATTTATAAATACATCCACCAATATCCACCAATCAGAGAATCTTCGGAACATAATAATTTACCGTTTATCTTTACGCGACTATAACGTTCATTTAATCAATCCACCTCCCGATTATCTCGTTCAATTGACGCTAAATGATGGCCATAAAAAAAAAAAAAAAAAAAAAAAAAAAAACTCAATGTAACACCTGCCTTGAGAGAATCCCATGACGAAGACAAGGTAGATCGAAACGAAGCGCAGTAGATCTCCCATTATCATTCGATAAATCATGACGACGAAAGGTCCGACGGTTTTAAATCCACGGCAGAAGAAGAGGAAATACGGCGCGGTTGTCAACATGACGACGACCGCGAGTTTGTCCTCGACCTCGTCCGCACAGATTATCCGTAAAAATGGAAAAGACAATAAGATGCAGCAAGAAAAGAGAAACATGACACGCGAGGGAGCTGTCATCTGTAAATAAATTCGTCTTCTGGCATGTACTGATTTCAACAGGCAGTGCCTTGAAATGGATGTTCGACCTTACGAGATTCTCTACAAACATGTTGAGGCCCAGGAATCTCGCTTCTCGTAAGGCTGCGCATATGTAAAGTATCGCCCCAAGTTCCATGAAAATCTCCGCTGTCAGTCTGATTTTCGATACGGAATCGTTTAATGACAGCAGTCGGCATTCGCCAGTCAGATCGTGCCACCTGCAATATGTTACTACAATATAGGAATTTTCCAATAGCCTTTTCTTTTTGGCCTTTATTCTTTTCAACGAATGGCCATTTGAAATTCAATTAAATTCTATTTAGACACGCTCACATTTGCATATTACATTAAAATTAACGCCATTAAAGCAAACATTTGAGCAAACAATCGTTACTCCCCGGTGCAGATTATTGTTAAAATTGAATGAAAAGACAAAAGAAAAATATTTTTGCCGTTGTATAATGAGAAAAGTGGCTTACCAATCGACAGTCTCTTCCCTCTCTTTATGTCGAATCGGTAAGTTCGTTTGATTGAAATCGAAATTATTCAAACGATCGTCTGTATAATTGTTCGCGCTTGAATTGAATAAATCGCTGACGATATCGTTGAAATCGTCATTGCTTTCCAGCGTCAATGTTGTATTTTGCTTCTCAGTCAAATTCCAAATATCCTTTATCGTCGAGCTTATGTTCGATACAATTTCTAAAGTAATTTTCTTCATGGAATTTGTTATCGATTTTTCCGGAAGCTCCAGATTTGCCGCAAGATGCTCCACTAGATTTTTCGTCAGCAATGATGTAAGCGTGAGTTCCAGAGGTTTAACTGCAGAAGCTACAATTGATTCGGACGATGTATTATTGTTTATGGATTGCTGAATCGAAGGTTTATTTGGCCACGGTATCGGACCCGGTCGAAGCGTGAAACTTATCACCGAAAGAACGAAATACGAGCAGAATAGATAAAATTGCCTGTAAAATCTGAAATTTAATACGATCGATTATTTATTTATTTATTTATTTATTCAATATGAGGCGATATATATTTATCGATATCGGCGATATCGATAACTTATTGCTAAGATTTGGAAAGTTGCCGCAATTATGAAATTATTTGAATATCATTTGTTAAAGCCTTAATCGTTCGAAAATTTATCATTATAAATAAGCGAATTTATAGCCTTAAACTGTGTGTCTTTTGTGCTTGTAATAAATTTATGTAGACCTAGATTTGACAAAAGTATTCCATTTAGCATTCAAAAGATCTATCAGTACTCCATCCATTAGTTCCAAATGCTCGTCCTTGTCCTGTAAAAATATGTTAAGTTTATTTTAATTTTACCAAAGTTATTTATAAACGAGATTCCGATACTTGCTCCAAAGACTACCAAGTTTAGGGCGGAATTGTTGCTTATTTGTCCCGTATTAACGTCAATCGTATCTATTTGAGAAAGTGGGTAAGCGGCGCAAGTTATACAACCGATTTGCCAATAAATTTCTCTTTCGATGTTTAGAATGTGAAAGAACATGTCGATGCGTGCGAGTTTGGCAGCCAACGTCAACGGTGTTAAATGTTGAATATTTCTCACTGATAGTGATGATCCTACTTCATATGCCATGTCAAAAGTTATCTGCAATTTTTAAAAATCTTTTTACTCAAAATCGGTGCTTTATATTTTTCTAACGACATAATAATTTATTCTCGATTGCATAATGCTCTTCTCGGCTCGAGTATCTTTCATATTTATTATATTTCAATTTTTATAATATAACCCTGCCGTGCGTAGTTATTATAGATTCGTAACATTAATTTCATTTTTAGCCTCAGATTATTCATCAATTTTGAAATTTAAATACAATAAGCATTAGATTTAATTATTCAAAGCATTAGGTAAATTGAATTAATAATACAAAATTCCCATTCGTTTGTCACGAGAGTATTTCAATTAGCATAAGCCCTTCAGCAAAATGTATTATATTTTTCAATAATAGTGTTGTTACCATGTCTCGTTAAAGCCAATTTTTCTTTCCAACTAGACTCGAGCAAGCGAATGCCCTAAATTGCTAATTTAGAATATAATTTCACCCTGAATTAAACCTCGAATATAATTTTAAGATTGTGATGATATATGATTTGAAAATCTCTGTGATCTTCAACTACATTTCTCTTGTATTTTCAGGAATATTCATTTTATTTATAGAATGCTCGTATGTAGGAAGATATGATGGGAAAGGAGCGAAGGAGGACAGAAGATGCCGATACATACATCGCTTCTGTTTTGCATGCGTCGAAGTAGGTGTTTGACTTTCCTTGCTAAATTTAACAAATAACTTTGTCTGGCGAATGCAGGAAAATGCGATGTTATATCTTTGCCTGATTGGAAACTACCATGTGGGCATATCTTGACTTTATGAGCAGAACAAAAATTGAAAGTAATGGTTGTTTTTCGTAAACTATAGTATCAAAATATTTTAAATTAAAAATAAAACGCGCGCGCGCTTATGGGTAATATAATAAAAAGACAGTGAGAGAGATATTTCATTTGGATAACAAATAATAATAATAATAATAATATTAATAATAATAATAATAATAATAATAATAATAATAATAATAATAATAATAATAATAATAATAATAATAATAATAATAATAATAATAATAACGTTTTCGCTACAAATAGAACGCGCATTTTAACAATTAAACGGCTCTTGTACATAGATATACACACAAGCAAAGGCCAATATTTATCAAATCTATAAATATACATCGCAGTACCTTTCAGTACTCACTATATTATTAATTTTTAAAATAATTGTTATCATACTTTCAATGCTTTTGCGTTTCTATCGCAAATGAAAAGAGTTATGTGCTCATGTAGCATTAATAGAGAACAAAATGGGCACAGTTAGATTGATACTAAGATTTGCTGTATATTTTTTCCCTTAGATGATAATTCGCATTCAAACTCACGAGCTTTTGATAAATGACGAGCATGTGTAGCACCGTGTTGCCGTTTGTGTCTTGCTTATCAGGATCTGCGCCTCTGGCCAGTATCAGCCGGTAGCATTCTTCCTGGCCCAAACAAGCAGCGAAGCTCAAAGGATATTCACCCCAGTAAACGTAACTGTTGTGTCAAATTAATCAATCTTTCAATCGCAATCTTTCATTGCCATCAATAGTTTGTGGCTTTGTTTTAAAGTCTGAAACCCCCGTGTAAATTGTTACTATTTAAAAGTAACCCCCCCCCCTTTATCTTATAACTATATAAATTCTTATTTGTTTGTTTGTTTGTTTTTGCTTCATTTTCCATCACTGAATCGTTTAATTAAAGTATTGATTCTTTCGGAACAACATGGTAATTATCTATTTTTATCATTGCCATTAACTAAAAACAAAATTGCTGTCCATAATAATTAATATCTATCCTTGTATAAAAAAGACAACGATTAAACGTTAAAATCTCACGAAATAGTATGAAATTGAATTAAAAAATATATATTAAAAAAATATAATTATTTAGAATTTGAAAAGTCTGGGCTTTAAAAAGCGAGGAAGATCGAGAGATCATTCGTCGAATCATTCGAATAATTAGTGCTTTTATTTTTATTGAGGTAATTGAGTAAAAACGAGCTAATTAAGTAGTGACAATGATATTAAACAAACATATTTACATGCGAATGGTCGTTCAATTAAAATTCGAAAAAATCCAAGTAAAAGTATTTCGCTGAAAATTTATCCATACTCTATGTATGAGTTAAAGGTCTGCTCTTACGAGCGCCTTACCCGTCATAATTAGTTTCTGGACACACGCCTACCCATTCGTGATCGAGGCTGTCATTGCGTGACGCCTTTTGATCCTCCGGGCACATAAAGTTACCGAAACAGCGCTCGTTCACGTTCGCACCGCTGTCGAGCAGGAATTTCACCATCGACGGATCCTCATTCACTATTGCTATGTGCAATACGTTTTCGCCTGCGTAAATAATAGCCTTTTAATTATATCTTTTGATTAAGCGTGCCTTTTCTTTTGTTGTTCACCTAACTAATAAAAACAAGCGAGCTTTGACGCTAAACGTAGCAAGGCTTTTAATGAACTATTTGACCAAGAGCAATTATTATAAAAATATTATGATTATGGCTTTAAGACGAATTTATAACAATTCGGTCTCTTCAATTACCGTAATATTCATCGTCGATGTAAATGTCGTTGATAAGATTCGGATAAAATCGAAGCAACCTTTTTGCCAAATCCGCGTGAATGGCCGTGGCATTAAGCATGCACAGGTGTAGGATAGTTTCGCCAACTGCGCCTCGTTCCCCAAGAGTCCAGCACACCAATCTGTATTTACTTTTATCTATCGGCATTGGTTAATGCGCGTGTAACGTTGTGTTATCGATGCAGACTGCCGTTTATTTAGTTAATTTCAACCAATTTCTTACCGATTTTATGTTCATCAACTTCTTCGTCGCTTTGCATGTCTTTGTCGATATCATAGTCCTCGGGTTTCTCCATTGCCTTCAATACCGGGAGCTACGGGTAAACAGTTTTTAATTAAACATTATAATCAAGGAACAAGTAAGTTATATATACCAGCTTTAATTTAAATAACAACAAAGAAGAGGAGAAGAGAAAAAACTTTTAGATTATTGGCTGAATCGTCGTCATACTGGATTCAGCCCGTATTAAAGATTAATTTTGTCAACGATACGCATAATAAAATAAGCGTTTGATCTTAATCCCAGATCACGAGGACAAAATAGATACATTTTTATTAATCGTTCGGCGTACTCCGACCCATAAAAGATTATTAAAGCTCAGTGTACAAATATTTAGTATGTCCGTAACCATTTTATGCCTCGGCCTCTCTTTATTTCTCAAAAGTACTAATTTTGATATTGGTATCCATTTTCCTTTGCCTCTGTTGTAAAGAAAAGGCTCGACTTTTGTCCTAATTGCATGGTCAATTTCAGCATATTGCTTTGTTTGAGATGCTCGCTTCATCATATCTACTAAAAGGCCGCCGCCTGTGAAATTTTTAATGATATACGGTAACGGTAATTAAATTCCTTAGTTTATAAACAGCGATTTTTTTCAATATTATTTTACCCTTTAAATCGACGAGTTTGTACAGTAAAATAGACGATGCATCCGTTTGTTTCTTTACACCACTAGTCACGTTACTTTCCGTATTACCCATTATTATTAACAATGAACATAAATATTCTCCTATAATTAATATAATTGTCTTGGAATATTGAATATAATAAAATTTTTATATCGTTACTTTCAAAATCGTCGTAGAGTAGTCGAGAGTTTTTACGTTACAATGAACATTCCGTTTCCATGACGTAAAACAGAATTATCGATCAAACTTCATGGTACTCATTTACAATACACTATGGTAATGTCTATTGATAATTTACGTTAAATTATTTGATAATTTAAGATTTTTCAATAAATATATGGTATCAGAAAGAAAAAAAAACAGGCCAAAAATTGATATCTGTATAAATATTTAAAATATCTTACCGATCATACATGATTGTTAATGTATATGTGACAATAATGATTGACCTTTACGGTTTATTTCAAATTACACATATAGTTCTTATTTTTCTTCGCATCGTTTTAGAAATTGAATTTTAAATGACAAAATTGCATTTAGTTCAAGCACTTTAATAGTGGTTATCTCATCTATAAATATGACTTTTATTGCTATACACAAGGTACGAGAAAACTTACCGCAATAGTCGAGAATGATATATTCAGAAAATAGTTTGATTGTTAACGTTATTCCAGAAATTAAGTCAATCAACTTTAAACAAAGGTTTCATATTTGAGGAAAACGTTTCAATATTAAAAAAAATTATTATTAATACAATTATAGAGTTAGTACATCTTACAATTTATGACGTAATTTTCATTTTTGCTTATTGCACAACTAGTTGTTTGCAATATTAAATAAACAATTTAAAAATAATGTTATATCTTTTTACCATTGTTTCTCAGAGAAATTTGAAGCTCACATTATTGTTATTATTATTTTATTTATTTTGTTTTTGTTTTTTAATACCCTAATGAGGAAGACCGCATGCGTTAAAGTACACATAAATGCAAATATATGTATTTTTTATATATTTATAACAATTATTGTTGCAGCAAGGATCTATGCTATGCATAACTTCCCTAGAATTAGAAACGATATTTCTATGGAAAAACAAAAAAAAGAAAAAAGAAAAAGGAAATATGTTTTATTACTATAGAAATATTCATTTATACGAGGAAATCTATAAATTATTATTTGTCGTATTTTTTCATTAATTTCATTTGATTGCCACCTCATAGTGGCAATTACTCATTAAATTTTTCTAAAAACAAATTATTATTATTATTATTATTATTATTATTATTATTATTATTATGCATTATCAATATACTAATGTGTAAAGTTCTCGTAACATCGTTTTAATAAAACTGTATCATCTATCGCAGTTCATTCAAGAAGAGTATTTTTATAATATTCAATAATAATTACAATTTTGTTAATAAGAAAATACTTCTCTTTTTATATCTATGAGTCGTGAACGTAATGTAAATAAATAATAATTGCACATGCGCGCGGCTCGTTGGTCTAGGGGTATGATTCTCGCTTAGGGTGCGAGAGGTCCCGGGTTCAAATCCCGGACGAGCCCGATGTTTTTTTTTTTTTTTTTTTTATTATTTGTTGTCTCGATAAGATCTATCGATCATAAACTATAGAACTGTGTTTGTATGTGGGATTTTGTATGCGAAAAGATACATTGCGCGTTTATAGTAATTAGAGCGAAAGAGCGAGAGACGCGCGCCTAAGATGTACGTGACTACAGATTGACTGAAATTGTAAACAATTTAAATAATTAACGATAACCGACAGCGTGTAATTATTAACAGTTAACTGGCATATTAGCACATAGACAATGACTTTATTGCTTTTGATATCTTAGATTTTTCATTTTTCTTGCGCACAGGTAAAAATCGACATTCGTTTAATCCTAATCGGATTGTAAATCGTCGACGGCTTAACCAATATTTATTGTAATGTAATTAACATAATCGAGAGATCTATTAAAAACATCACCGATAATTGACTATCGGCATATGCATATTCTACGATATATATTTTAAAAAGGCAAATTATATGGTTGTAATAGGGAATTCAATTAATGCTCGCAGCAACATTGATTAAAAGCAAAATCAACGAACAATGCAATGTTTGAAAGTTTCTCAGCTCAATATTTAAGGTTTCGTTCCATTTATAGAATGGATATGAGAAAATTATTGTCCAACATATGTAAATGAAAGAGAATTAAGATGACGTTTGCGTGTATTTTAGGGATAATCAACCGTAGTTATTGCGGACACACGCGCAAATAATAATAGTGATATAAAAAATGCGATTTCATAATTTTTGCGCGGTGACCTTGGCTCAAGTGTTCGGGAAGCGGAGCTTTAAAAAAAAAGGCTCGATTAAATAAAATTAAATAAAAGGACAGGAGAGGAAACGGCGTGTGAGCCAAGCGAATAATCCGGCGGCTTTTCAAGCTACGAGGAAAGCTCATGGTCTCTCAGCGCTTGAGTCGACGCTTGATTATCGTCCGTGGACGGCGAGAGCGAAAAATTCATTGCGACGATCGGAGCTTTGGAAGGGCCGAGTTTTCACGATCCGCGGGACCGACGTGCGTGCGTGCAAACGTGGCGGGGTCAGGGGGCGAGGTCGGAGGGTCGAGAAGTACAGACTAAAGACGGGAAAAAATATGAAAGTGTAGAATGGCCAGAAGGAGCGAGAGCGCGCGGTGTCGTGTCGCCGCTGCCACCGCCGCCGCCGCCGCCGCCACCACTGCCACCGCCACCACCGCCACCACCGCCACCACCGCCACCACCGCCGCCGTCGCCGTCGGTAGCGCGCGCGCGAGAGTGCGATCGTGGCTCTTGGTACGGCGCCGCTTTAGAACCGAATTGTAATACGGGCGCGAGACGACGAGACGACGTGTACTCGCAGCTCCTCGTACGGGGCTTCGGCTTACGTTTACCTCCGCGGTACCCGTCTGGGTCAGTGAGGCTCGCGCTTTCGACTCGCAAGCACATCGTCTCCGCGGCTCCACCCCGTCGCACTCTCGCTTTCATCAGACTCGCCGAGCAAGAATTAGCCGGAGAAGTGTCGAGGGTGGTGGATTCGTCGTTGTCGAACCTCCAAGCGCCTGCCCAGCCATGTGAGTATATTACTTGCTATTGTCCCTGGCGGCGTTTATACCGTCCAATCGCCCGAGGCTCCTTTCTCACGCCCGCCCCCTTTCTACTTATTATTCCTACTTTCCGAGCAAAAAACGAAAAAACAAAAAACAAAACACAAAAAACAAAGGAGAAAAAAGCAAACAAGTAACACCGCAAATAGACAGTTAGGTTGATCGGGCGAGTTGCGATTAGCGCGAGGATTAGCGCTAGTGAGCGAGTGCCCCGAGCGAATTGGGACTTACGGGTACGTGGACCCATCCTGAGCGTTATCGGTAACGTCTCGACGGGAATAAATGTCGAGAGGAGGGTTACGATTAGACGTGGACATCGCGATCTTCGTGAGCCCTGGCTCGAGCGCTCTCCCCTTCGTCACGCGCGAAACAATGGACACAATGGAGGTTGAGGAGGTGGGCCGCGGAGGAGAGATCGCTCAGTTCGCTGGCCGTTATCGGGATTTCGATTTTAACGAGCAGGGTCCCCTTTGTCGGACCCGCGATTGAATTCGCGCCTCTCGCTCGGCGTAGCCAGAGTAAGGGTCAACGCCGATGACATAACCGCCGCAAGCACTTACGCCAAAAAGCGCGTAAGAAGCTCGACTCGGGACTCGCCGTTCCTCCCCGTTCCTCCTCTTTTATTATTTCGCAACACTTGTGATATTTAAAAAAAAAAAAAAAAAAAAAAAAAAAATTCGAAAAAAGGTGCCGCTTTCGCAACGCCATCCTTCAGCTTCCGTTCGCCATTCGGGTGCTCGCGCCGCGCTCCTCCTCTTTCTCTACGTCTTTTTAATCTTGTTCCGCGTTCCGCAATGCTTAATGATGTTTTCTTATTTTTAAACTAATTCGTTGAAGTGACGCGCTCCGCGCATTTGTTATCGTGCGTCCGCTCGCATTATTTATCGTTTGTTTTCGCTCGCGTTCGACCATTGAGAAGCGATACGATATATCGATAAAGGCTCGCATGAAAAGCGATGCGTTATCTTCGAGCTTGACATTAAAAAATGCATTTTTTTTTTTCCACGATTTTATCGATGATATTGCAACGACAATACGCCGAGTAAGTGGTGAGTGACGATAATCCATTCATGTACGTTCGTAGGGGCCGATTTCATCTTGAAGCTGTACATTTTCATCATATCGCCCGCTCATTCTTATTATAATTCCAAACGCTATCACTCTAATAAACATTGCTATCGTATTTATTTACCAAAGTTACGAAATTAATTTTAACGTTCTTAAGATTTTACAATGTATGCGATTGAAAATAAAAATTTGTTCAGTCGATAAGCTCAGTTTATCGAACACGACCTAGAAATCGCCAGACTCGCGAAATAACCGTCAGTGTCCCGTGGCCCTTTGCATTTACGGGATCGGACGATGATTGATTATTAATTTTAATAAAAGCAAAACAGCTAATGAGCTAAATAGCAACAAAGCAAATGAGCAAAATAAAATAAAAGAAGAGAAAAGCAACGTCATGATTTCACTCTTCATTCCACACAACGTTATTTTTTATTATTAATTTTATATATTAATTGTTAATTAGCGCGGGGAGTTGAATTGTTTTTATACGTCGTTACTTATCTTTGAGCGAAATACGATGTATAGGCTCATCGTTTTATATGGGACACAAGCGTTGACACACAACCGTTGAAACATTAGACAACGCGGGTACGAAGCTTAAGATTATCATGTCTTTGTGCGTACGAGCCCCTCGACTGCGAAACTCTTTTCTTAAAACGAGGATTCCGTCAATGTAAACGCGATTTATTTACCGAACAAACGATACTATTGGTACGTCAATGGGACTCTAGGCGGTGCATTATTACGCAGCTCATTCGGAAATATGGGAAAATCTCTGGCGACGGGCGCGATTATTTTTTTTTAACGTTAAGTTGATTAAAGCTACTAGGATGTCGTCGTCATTTTGTAAATCTTAGGCGAGTGCGAGTGGGATGTAAATGCAATTTAGACGATAGCCCCATCGTTGGAACGGAGCGCGACTACGAAAGCGCCGCTTCCATCAGCGAATTTTCTCATCGTCAACCCTCAGTCATTGCACTCTTTGAAAACTTCGCCCCTCTCCGTCACTTCATACACGCGCCCCGCCTCCCTCGCACCCCATTAAATCTCCCTTCCCTCCTCAGCTGGTCTGGTACACTCGTTCGTTGATCAAAGATGCGATGGCCGTCGTCGTCGCGGTAATTTTACGCGCCGAGATGCCAAACAGGTACGAGGCACATGTGGCTGGCTCCGCGGATGGATTCGCGTTGTTTTCGCGGGAGGGCAATCCAGGACAGCAGCAGGCGCCCCTATCGCCTCGACTCATCGCTATTATTAGTTGATCGGATATTTAGGATGAAGGCACAACGAGAGCGCCCATCGTCGGCATACGGGAATAGAGTGGGATAAAGCGGAGCCGAACTGAACGGAGGAGAGTATTCGAGAGAAAGCTATCTACGCGCACTAATGAGAAAAGTATTCGGCGGACTCATGCAGCGTGACTCTTCCTCTCGTTGCCGCTATCTATGCGAATAATTAGCCTACTTTTTTCAAGCATCGCTCGCTTCTGAGCCGAACTCTCGCGCAAGAGGTGGAGAAGGAGAAGGATGAGGGGTAGGAGGAGGATGAGTTGATCGGGTAGGAATTTGGTGTCGGTTATGGAGGGGGTGTGTGTGTGTGTGTGTGTGTGTGTGTGTGTGTGTGAGGGGAGGGAGGTGAGAAAATCCGAAATTACTTCCCGGAGCGTGAGTTATTAGGAAATTATTGTTAGCGCGATTCGTTGGAACGATAAAGTGAGACTCGTACGACGCGTCTCTCGTCATATCGAGCGGAAAACCGAACACGTGTTGCGTATTTGATATAAGCGCTCGTCGATCCACACCGACGATTACCCGCACCGCACTAATTCCTATCTTACATATTCTTAAACGATTGTGCAATAATCTTAAGAATTAGGGCAAATACGTAATGATTGGCTTATTCGTTCAATTGGAAATTGATGGCACTTGGTGATGAGCCTGTAGGTGAGAGTCCACGCAACAATGATGTTAGTAGAGTTAAAGTTAGTCTTGGACTTTTTCAGCATGTAAAGTCCAGAGTAGCTTTGTGGAAAGAGAAGGGAGGAGAGTGCGATAATGCCGCTGCGTGAATCACGCAATTAGCACGAACCTCGTCATTTCGTCGATGATTATTCTAGATCGATGACGATCCGTCCCATAAACGCTGGCGAATTCCAGAAGTATTATTTATCTTGACAAGCCTGCGTTTCGCCTCTCCCTTTCTCCCTCGACGCACGTGTTTTAACGTTCGCGCGCGCCTATTTGAATCCACGCCATAAACCGAAGAATAACTGCAATGCAGCGTTTTCAGCGTTTTATCTCGGCTCGATCATTACGCGCTGCATCTTGGCTACGTAATAAGCGGCTCTTAAAAAAGCCGATGCACGAAAGTTTCAGCTAGTATGGCATGATCGGTAACGCACGCTCTGCACAAAATCGCTAATTCGTTCATTTTCGTAAGCACATGTTTCATGCCAAGCATTTATCGTGAATCTACCGATCCGCGTTCATTTATATCCATTTATATCCATCGAGCGGCTCTTTTGCGTCCACCGGCATTCATACATTGTTTACGCGCAGATGAATTTGAATCATTGATTAGTCATGTATCATAGGAGACCTGATTGGTATTCCTCGCCCTAAGAGCATCGATCCCGGCGCACGAGTTGGCCGATTACTTCATCCATCAGCTTGACTAGGCTTATAATTTGCCGAGAGGCCCGATCGATATTACCGCTCAATCCAAAGGAATATAATATTATTTATTCAAAATATTTATATTGAAAATTACTTCGCGCTCCGCCCTTAATCTCCCCATCCTTCCCCCTAACCCTATACCACCACACACCACATAATCTTTTAATTCCTCATTGGCGACACTTATTCTGGGAATTGCTGTAATATTCGTGGGCATAGGAACGTGATAAATTAAGGCTTTTTATTGTAACACAGTGTATAATATAAAATTCTAAACAACGTATAAAAATCTTTGTGCGTGCGTGCGCGCGTGCGCATTTTAATAATGTCTATGAATAATTGAGTAGCTATAAAGAGTGAAAGTAGATGCGGAAACTTTTAGTATTCTAGTCGACTCGAAACAATTACATAATTAAATTATACTTGTATATTATTTCGTAAAGTACTTATCGTTAAAAGACCAATTTACTTTACAATTTTAATGAAATATTTGATAATTGCTTTATTTCACCTTATCATTGTCCGATGTAATATCTCGTTTCTGCACTTTCGCCTTTATATCGAATTCTTGAAATACGCTTAAGGATTTTTTATTCTTTCGCTCTTTTTTTTCACTCTTTCTTTACTCAACCATCAAACTAAAGATACGTCGCTATTTTGTATTCGGAATATAAAGAAACTAGGAGATGCAATTGATGTTGTATTGCGACGGCAACGTTAAACGACGGCAAATTCAAACAATTAACTAACCGCACATGATAACTAAGCAGTTTAGTAAATAATTACAATAAAAAAATCATCGAGCTTGGCATCTGGGACAATCGCTCCCAACTCCGCGTGTATCACAGGAAGGTCAATGAATATAAATTAATATTTATCCATGCGAATATCTAATATTTTTCATTATAAGTTGCGAGGCAAGGCCCTTGATGACTAGTGATTTACCGTGACGGCTGTCAATAAAAATTAGATTTGTAGCGAACCGGTCGTCTTTTTTTCTTTTCTATCTTCATCGTTTTGTTCTTTTTTCCTTTTTCTTGTTTTTATTGTAAACTCGGGATTTAAGACTTTTTTTATTGCGATAAGCGACAATGTGCAATGAACTCGATATATCACCGACGAGAATCTATACCTGCGAGTGTTTTCGCGAAGAGTTCACTCGCCTATCTATGATTCGCGCGGTAAAGACCTCACCTTAATTCGATAAAGTGGCATAGCATTCTG